TTCACTCATTGTCACGAGCAATTGCTTTCTCTCTTGCCCCACCTCTCTCCAACCAGCGTGCCTCCCTTTCGCACTCTTCTGCGGTGGCAAAACTTTTTACAAAATGAAATTGTTTTCGTATTAACAATTTCATTAAAATTAAATTACTTTTATTATTCCGACGGAATCGGAGCGACCGTAAAGGAGTGGGAGAGAGAGAGAGAGAGTATTTCCATTTTTTCTTCTCCCCTTTCTCCACCAAAAAGCTTGGCGTCCGATTTCTTCAGCTGTCAAACAAATTAATTGCGCTTTTAATTGATTTCGTTGGGGGTGTGTCAGAGAGAGATAGAATATATAAGAGAAGAGAAGAAAGGAAGGGTTAAGAAAGAAAATTACGGAGATCTAACTAATCGGTTTAAAATATAAATAAATTACGAATTAATAAACAGAAATTAAATGTTTTATTTTGAAAATTAATAAGTACAATTTATTTTTAAAAGAAGAAATAGAAGATTTACTAAATAAAACCAGCAAAAGGATAATAATTCTTAATAATCAAGCAATTCTTGGTTTTAAAAGCTTAATTTTTTGTATAAGAATTTCCACAAAAATACACCAAAATTTAAATAAACCATTTTATTAAAATGTTTCAGCTTATAGAACCTATTAAAATAAAACCAATAAGAAATAAAACCAAATATATAACTTTCTTCACCGACGAGAAGCACTTAATACGTGCAATAAAAACGAATGCAGAAATAATATCCGCCGTAAATAAGGAATTCGCCACTTATGTGTAGGGCCGTGCAATAAATAAAATATCATAAATAAGATATATCCTGGACTCGTTTTCCCTCCCTGCCAAATAAATAAATAACTTTGAATAAGCCGGGATCCCAAACCAAATCCTCCTGGGCCGCAGCAGCTCCTGCTCCTTTCACTCTAATTCTGTTTAGCCATTTATTTTATTTAGGCATTTCATAGAGCGATTACCATTCCACCACGATGCTCCTCTTACCCCACTTCCTCCGAATGGATATGGATTCTCCGGGAGCTCTGCTCTCTTTTAGCCAAATGATGCGTAGGCCATAAAAACGAAAGGGCAGCGCGCGAAGGAGTCTCGGCCATTTGGTTAGGCACAGTGGGCGTGGCAACGGACGACTTTGTTGGTCATAAGAATAAAATGTTCACTGGGAAAAATAAGGTAACATAAGATAAGATATTGAAGTTTATTTTTTATTATTTATTTATTTTTTCAAATTATTTTTAAGAGTTTTATTTCAATTTTTAAAATTTAACCGGTGAAATATTAAGAAAATAAAATTTTAAATTTAATAAAATAATAATTTGTAAAATTAATTATAATTATAATTAATTACAATATAATAATAATAATGATAATAATGCAAATAGTGGTACTTCATAAGCATCTTAAAAATAAAATAAATAAAAAACTAAATTCATAAATATTTTTCTGTGTCTAAGAAATTTTTTTTTGATGGCGCCAATAAATTTGCCGTGGCTCCTTTAAGGCCTACAAATGCGAGTTGAAATGTCGCATCATAAATAAAATGGAATCGTTTTCCAGGGTGGGGAGGGAGGTAGTCCAAGGAGTGGCCTTCAAATAAACCGCAATGCAATTTGGCCTAAAAGAAGTTAATAAAATTCACAGCAATGGAATGGGATTGGTCCTTCGGTTGATTTTTTCCGAGGGTTTCCCCGGGAAAAACTGGAGTGCTCGCCCGGCTATTCATTTTCGGAGGCTGCGCCATTTTGGCTTTGGAAAATTTATAAACGTAATTGAGAAGCCTTCAGCCGGCCCCCAGCCCTTGCCTCCTCCTTCTCCTTCCGACCATTTTCACTGGCCGCACGTAAAATGCATTAACTGCTTCTTCTTCTTCTTGGCTCGTCCTGGTCCAGGATTCGTATCCGGTTACAGCCACACTGCATGGGCTGGTGCCACTCCTGGCCAAGTCCGAGGCACTCGCGCAATTTGGTTTTCGAAAAATAAGCAATTTGTAAATTGAAAATGGTCGTTCCGGCAGGAAAAGTGGGTTGAGCCGGGTGGGGGGGTAGGAAAATTGCAGTTACATGCGGCCATTTACTACGTGGGCGTAAGGGGCGTGGCTGGCTGGCTAGAACCGGCAGCAGCAATAACAACAACAGTAACAGCAACGCGGAAGCTGGAAATTAATTATTTGCCATTAAGGCTAAGTAGATGATATAAAAAGTGGCGTGGCGGCAAAGAGCAAAGGGAGAGGGAGAGGAGGACAGGAAAATGGTTTGGGAAAATGAGGGGAAAATGGTAAGAAATGGGGGTTGGGGCCTGACTTCTTTGCAGGCAATTTAGACAGTCAAGTGCCCATATAAATTACATAAATTTCACCCAGGACAAGGCAAAGTACGTACATACGTAAGTAGTGAAAAATTGTGAAAATGCTTGGAGGAAGGCGGAAAAAACGCCTTAGCCTTGTCACTCCACTATTTTCTAAGCTGCGCCGTTAATAAACGCTTTTTGCTAAGTAAGAAGTTAGAAGTAACTGGTCTTTTATAATTAATTGCATTCAGACAGTCCATAGATAACTAAATATTATTTAAAAATATTTATTAAATAGCTAAGTTAGCTTATTAAATTTAAAATGTATTAGAAATTATGCAAAGATATATTTTAGTATTTTATATTTAAGTTTTACATGTTCTAGCATATTTTAAAAAATTTTTTAAAGTGAATTTTAAGTCCCTAAATAATTTTTGTGGCATATTGGACTAGAATATTTTTGAAATATGATCCCTAAATGAAATATTCTATGCTTTCTACTTTGAATTACATAAGAAACTCATTTAATTAACGAACTTTATACTGTGAAAAAATTCTTTAAAAAAAAAAACCAAAACCTGTGCACTATGCAGTTCGAGAATAAATATATATAAATATCTGCAGCGTTGCAGTTGCAGGAAAAATCTCCTTGGCCATGGCACGCCCCCTCCTGCTGTGGCTGCTGGCGTCCAAAACGAATCCCAGACTAATCTATTATGGAGCAGGTAATTCCACTAAAACGAACCAACCAAGAAAAGCCCCGGGAAGACTCCAAAACACAATCAAAGAGGACAAAAATAAAGAAAACAAAATTTAAGCTCAAAATGAAATGAAACTCGGATTGGAAATGAAACTAAAACACAAACTAATGATGGGAGAATGAGGCGGGGGTGGAAGCAAAGCTAACAATAGACAAACTCATAAATCAGGGCGCCAATTTGCGAGCCTGACAGGCTCCTTTCCTCCCACCGCAGGAAAGGAAAGGAAAGCACAGGACGTAGGGAGAGCCAAAAGAAACGAAATAGTTTGCCAGCACGCCCCAAAAAGTCAAATCTAGAGGGAGGAGGCAGGGGCACTGCGAAAAATTATACAGATACAATCGGGAAAATAACTTTGACAGTTTTTTAAAGTAAATTAATTTAGTTTTTCAAATCAATCATATTTTTTAAGAAAAATAAATCAATAACTATATAATATTAAATTTTTCTTTTAAAATCTTTGCTAGAAAATAAAAAAAAATGTCTTAAAAGTAGGACAGAACATTTTTTAAATGCTAATTTAATTAATCCTTAAAATCAAATTTCCAGCTGCACCCACTTTTCCGCTCAGTGCAAAGAGGCGCAGAATAGGGACTGCAGGAGGCAACAAATTCATTTCGTAATTGTGGCCAACGACCCAAGGGGTGAAACGAGGGGGCTAGAGGTCGTCCTAGATGGGGGAGGGTGTGTGTGTGTGTGGTAGGGGGCGGGGGCGTTGGACAGTTAGAGGAGCCCATTCAGGCAAACAATAATAAATGGGATCCAAGATGGCGTCACTGGGATTGGGAATTGCGATTATAGCGGGACCCACAAAGAAGTAAGAGAGGGAATGCCCAAACTGGCTATTTTTTTGGGGCGGCTCTCTCAATAAATTAAGTGAAATTCACTTAGCTATTGTTTGTGCGTGTGCGGCAAAGATGAGAAATTAATATAAATAAATTGAGTTGTCAAGAAAAAGGACGAAAAGAAAAGCAGAAGGTGAAGAAGAAGAAGCAGCGAAGGCTAGAAGATATGGGGAAGGCTGAAAAATGATATGCGAAATAAATTCCAACGGTGAGTAATCGTTTTCTTATTGTTACTGTTGTTGCTCTGCTTGCTCTCACCCTAAATGAAGAGGGGGAAGCGAGAACACCCAAAAGCCCCAAAAGCCGCTGCTTCTTCTTCTCCTTCTCCACCCACCTTTCTTTCCTCTCTTTCATTCACCACACTTAACGATGAAAATCCAATTTAAGACTGCCTCAGTTGTTTGCTCTCTCTCTCTCTTGCTCTCTCTGGCTCCCCTTTCCCCCTTGGGGATATCCATCCTCGTCTTGCGTCTCGCTTGCTCCCGCCTGCCACGTTGCCACCTAAATAAAGTGTAATAAAATAAAGTAGATAGGACATGAGCGGGGTTTGGAGGCGACAGTCGGTCTTCTTCTATCCCTTTTGCTTGTTGTTTTTTTCGCTTCTCCTCTCTGCCGCTGCTGTCCCTGCCCCCCCTTCTTGTTTTTGTGAGCTCTCCATGCCGAAAATTCAATTTCCACAATGAAAATGCGCGAGAAAATTGTCTTACATACCAACGACGACGAGTAAAACCCCCAAACCAGCTCCCCACTCCGTCACGCACTGGTGCGAGCGAGCGAGAGGCGGTGTTAGTGTGCGAGCGAGCGAGACAGGTGCAGCCTTGTGCTTTGGTTTGCTGACTGTGCAGCGCCTGCGCCTGTTGGCTGGCTGGTCAAAAAAATAATGGGAAATGGCAAAGGCGGCGCTTAGGGGCACAAAGCGTTGCCTCATTCTCAACCCTCTCGGGCTGGGACTCTCCCTCAGCTTCTGCCACCCCATCTCTGTCCCACCCGCAGCCATCTTTCTGCCGACGCAGATCTAATTTGCAGCATGCTTCGCAGTCGACAGCGCTGTCAACATCGGCGACTGCGGCAGGCACCGTTAGATCATTCGCATTCTGATGTTCCACGCGTTCGGTTCAACGGCATATCCAACAGCATCCACACACCAATCAGCTGACGAGCAACCGCAAAACAATTTACAAATGCTCAAAATACGTAACATAATACGGGATTAAAAACAAAGTTTAAATATTAAAAGGAAGACCATTGCCGTCGGCCATAAGAACTTGAATAATCTGAAAAACTTGATTATCTAAAAAAGTGTGTTTTCTAAACGCCACAAGTGTGTTCCTCCTCCCTAAACTGAAAACTGAAATCAAACTCCATTTTGCGGCCTATTAAGTCCCACATCGACTGTGTAAATTTAGCAGTGGAATCTCTATAAACTTTTCCTCACATCCTTAACTGATTGTTAAGAACTTTTTGGCCCCAACAACAACTTCTTGGAAAGTTTCTCACCTTTGTCTTCCACACGTGTGAGAGTTGTTCGTGCTGTGAAAACTAAGGGAAAAGTCAAACCCCAAACCCAAACTCAAATAGAACTCAGCTAAAAGGCGAAAAAAGCCCACGCCGAAAGGATTTTCTTCTGTGACACGCTTGAAGAATTGCTGTCAAAATTTTCACGGACGGTAATAAGGTGAGTTTTGTTTAAAAATATATTTTGAGGATGATATTTGATAAAGTTTATAGATTTGAAGGAGATTTTATAAGGATATTGCGGGGAATTTAATGATTTAAGACTTCAAAAGGCTTAAAAATTAAGATCAATGGGTCTATTTACGAAAACCGAAATGTAATAAATGCTTAGAAATTTTAACTAAATTTTTTTATTATCAAGGATACCTTATATTACATATTCAAAATTATACTATGATAAAATGGATAAAATTAAGAATATTTTGGGTCGAAATTTATCATAGAAAGGCATTTTACCAGGTTTGTTTCTTTAATAATTTTGCAAATTTTGTAAGAATATTATTCCTATTATTTAAATATAATACTATTTTATTAAAATACTCATAAAAACACTTAAACTAAAATATATAACGAGATAATTCTCCAACAAAGAAAGGAAACCCTTTTCCTTACCCCCAAATTCCCCTTCATATCACAGGGCACACATCACAAATTTTGGCTTATAATTTATTTAGACGCTTTTAATTTGCATTAAGGAAATTTCCTAATGAGTTCCAAATGCGATAATAATCTCAGCTCTCAAGTGTGCCCGAGTGCTTAGTCCCTTTTCTCGTCCTGAAGTGTCCTGGACCGTGTGTGTGTGCGCTTGTGTGCGGGTTGAGTAAAGTGTCTGGCAAAAGTGTTTGTCCCGATGCCTTTCCTGTGAGAAATCGCACAAAATTTTGTGAAACACTCAAAGTAAAATCCGACAAAAAAAACCAAGCAAGGGATTGGAGGCGAAAAAAGAATTAAGACCGACTGGAAATTGGCGCATGAATAAAGGATTGCGATTCGGATTCGGATTCAAAAGGAAGTCGTCGCCTCTCGCGAGCTGTGAAACTCCCCCGCTTAATTGAAGACAGACCAAAAGTTGATCACTCCGCAAATGCAGTTTGAATAATTGATGGTAATTAAGAGAGGGGGAAAAAACGGGAAGGAGACCCAGACGGGCACCAAAATCAATGGCAAATGGCAATAATTCGCCACAGAGAGAGAGAGAGAGAGAGAGGAGAGGAGCGAAAAAAAGGGAAAAAGGGAAAACGAAGTTTCAAATTAAATTGATCAACCGCAAATTAATTGGCAGCCATGCAAACGTTCAGGCTCCACACCCCCACCCCCCTTTCAATTGGAGTCCACAAGCGATTTTTGTTTCTCTTTTCCCCATGGCAATCGTTCCAATCGTGTGCATGTATGTACATGTATGCACTTGTTCATTTGTATGGGGAATATTGGGAAAAAAAATTTGAAAAAATAATAGAAAGCGAACCCCAAAATCTATGGTAAAAGCTGGGGGTCGAGTTAGCTGGCAAATAAAATACAATTTGGCATAAATTTAAATTAGCAAATGGAATTATCATAGGAGAACCGAGTCCCGCAGCCGAAGGAGGTTAGTTCGGCCATGTTTATTGATTGCTTGATTGAATTGAACAGCGAATTGGTAAATGGCCAAATTGATGGATGCCCCCTATTTCCACATACACATTTACATATTTTCAATATGCAAATTGGGGAGGTATAGAGTTAGGAATTTTTATTGATAAACTAATAAAATATCAAAAGATTATAGTTTAAGGGAATTTAAGGTAATTTCATTATGTTTTTTATTGTCTTAAAAACTAGAAGTTGCAGTGAAATATTTTATTTACAATTTAAAAAGTTTGTGAAATATTTACATTTTTAAGAAGCAATAAAATTAAATGGTTTTTAAAAACTGTATTACAAAATAAATTCTTAAAAAATTAAACAAAATTATTGACTGCTTTTTTAGCCTAAATAAAATAGGAAAAGCTTTATAAAAAACTCCAGCACGTCTTAATTAAAAATAAAAAAAGGAAATCATCAAATTTACTAATCAAAAAAATTAAAATAGAAATTATGCATTTAATGTCTTATAAAAAAAAACCTTCTGTAAAAAGGACCCTTTATTTTTCCCCGAAAAACATATAAAAATATTAAGAAATTTATTTAAAAAGATTATAAATTTCTTATATATATTTTCTTCAACACGATCGTTCTCATTGAAGATGAATTGTTCCCTCCCCTCAGTACCTCCCCCCCTTTTGGGTTTATTAATCACTTAACGACCCCCCGCAAAGCTTTATTTTTATATGTGAACCAACACCAGTTCTCCCTCCTTCTTTTTCCCCCTTTTTTTTATTTGTCACAAGCAGAACAAATGCACAAAACAATTTGCTTTAATTAAACAGAAAATTCAATCAAAATATTTATAAAACAACAACAACAAAAACACGAACCAAGTCGGAGGGGGGTTTGGGTGATCACAGGCTTTTCCCTACCCATGCGGGCGCCCCGAAGATGACGACATATACCGCATATTACATATAAAATTGAAGGGTTGCCAAAGGCAGATCGCATTCTGAGTTTTAGCTTTGGAGTTCGGGATAAATTGGTGACACTTGGACACGAACTGAAGAAAATATAAAGCACTGTAAGATAAATTTGTTAGAACTATAGATTTTATATAAAAAAGAATGAAATATACTTGTTGAAATAATTATATATTTAAATTAATTATGAAATCAAAAATATTATATTTAAACCTTTTTAAATCTGTAACATCAAGCTTTGTTTTTATTTTTCCCTCTGTTTAGTAGAGGGTGCAACATAATTCAATTTACTAAACATTTTGCACTGCAATTTCCAGTCGCTGATTTGTTGGTGGGTGGCACTGGCACCGTCAGTGGCATCATTCCGGTCCGCTTTCCAGATCGGCCTGTATATATGCATTTAAGTCTGGGGCTCTGATTCTAGGCGCGAGCCAATTGACACAATCAAATTTTCGAAGCTCACAAATTCGCTTAATGCGCCGCCGCAAGACAAAAACAAAAAAAGAAAAACCAAAACTGCAATCAACACTGTACGAAAAAAGGGGGGAAAAGAGGTAAATTGGGGGTGGGTCACTAGGCAAATAGTTTGACTGAGACAGAGGGTATGGCTTCGAATGGAAGTGTGAAAATTGGATGGGATTTTTAAGAGGTTTTGTTGATGGGAACTCTTTTGTTCACAAGGTTTTCTAAAAATATGTTCTGAAATTTGTATCTATATCTTAAAATTTGATATATGTATCGAAGATAATGATACCAAGCACATGAGTGCTATATTTTCTTTCAATATATCATAAAGACTTTGCCTCATTTCCTAAATACCTAGTCTTCACTGTGCTCATATCAAAAAACCCACTCTAAGTTGGATCATCAGTGGCAGACTCTGCGCCAGTTTAGTTTGATTATGCTGGACAGACGGACAGACAGACGGACGGACAAACGGACAGTTCTAAAAACGGATGCACTTTACTTCGGTGGCAAAAGTGATAACCTCATCACACTGCCACCCACCTAGCCTCCCCCCTTTGCCAGCTTGCATTTCCATATCATCATCACACCTCAAAAACGAAAAAAAAAAGGAAATGGAGGAGCAAAAACTAGAACTAAGCGTATGTGTGGGCGGTCGGTAGGCAATTTTGCAAATGCGTTTAAGTGGCTCTAATGCCAGCGGGGGCGGGGAGGGGGCGGGGCATAGGGATGCGCACGTGGATACGTACATATAAACCCCCCACCCACATAAATGATATACCCGGGCACTGGCAGTCTGGCAGCGAATTATGCCACTTTTCCGCACTGCACAAATGCCGAGATACAATTGTATCTGTGCGTCTCGTTTAGTCGCGATTTGGAAACTGAAACTGAGATTCAAGCGACCGATAAACCTATTACGAGGCGCTGGCCCTGAACGAAAGGAGGTCGGGTCCAGTCCGGTCGGTCGTCGATGGTCAAGCTGACCTTCACAAGGCTGTGTTTGGAGAAATGAGAGGAAAATATTTATTTAAATATTTTGTAGAAGGTACTGTAAGTAGAGATTTAAATATTTAAAATTATTTGAAAGTATATTTTGTGTATTGTATCTTGAATCCATGGGATGTATCTATGTATCTATTCCGTAAAAGTAAAGAAAACATTTTAAAAATTTCCTTTTAAAATAAACAATAAATAAAGTTACTAAATTAGCTAAGGTTCCATATTTCCTAAAATAAAAATCTTAGAAAGGTTTTATTTTCCCTTGACAAGATCACTTAGATACAATTTTTCAAAATAACTTTTTCTGCTTTAAAAAAGAAGTATCTTTCACATATTATTTATATATTTTTTTATGAAAGAACTATAAGTTGGAATTTAAATATTTAAAATTGTTCAAAAGAACATATTGTATCTTGTATAATTTATCCATGGGATGTATCTGTTCCTTAAGAGTATATTTTAAATAGAAACCATTTAAAAAATGTATTTTTTGTGTGGTTTTTAAATAAATAATTAAGAAAGTAAGCTAAATTAGGGATGCTTCAAAATTTCCTATAAAAATATCTAAAAAAGGCTTTAATTTCCCTGTGACAAAATCATTTAGATACATCTATTGTAAAGTATCTTTTTTCTGCTTTAAAAAAACAAGTATCTTTCAGATATTTTTCTGGTTGACAATTCCCCCTTCTGGAAGCCCCCCTTTTCCTCTGCCCCCAGCTTTGCTGGGTGTTGCACTCGCTGATTGACTTGTGTTTCCCATTTTTAATTTGGTTAATTCAAATTAATCAAGCGACTGTTGATAATTCCATGCCTGCCGGGCGAAATGCATTTGTTGCATGGAAAAATGGAAAGTGCATTGGCATTGGAGTCCAGACTCATACATATTCATATATATATATATGTATATATGTTGATATAAAGTCATATTCATTCGCATTCAATGTTGTTGTTGTCGTTGTTGCTGTCCAGACGCATTTCCCACTTTGTTGTTTGGCTCAATTAATGCAATTGCTCGACTTTTTTTGTTTGTCTCTTTCGCTGCTCCCGTTATTGTTGTTATTTTTATTGTTGTTGTTGTTGTCATTCCGTGACATTATTAATTTATATTTATATTACTTTTTATAGCTGCTGCAGCTGTTGCATAATGCCCTCAGCATTTATTGCTTCAACGACAGCAGCAGCAGCAGCGGCATTAAATTGCATTATATTCTGTGATGCGTTTTAATTAATTTTGAGTTAATTTTGTATTTTATTATTATTATTTGGTCATATGGCCAGGGCACTCTCAATGCACAAATTGAGGGATAAATGTGGATTTTTGAAATCAAATCTGATTGATTTTGGGTTTTGGATCCTTTAGGGAAGTTGTTTGGTACATTTATTTGGGGGTCTATGGAAATTATTATAGGAAATGTATAAACAAATTTACAGCAAATATTTCAAAAATTATTATAATTATCTTCGATAGATATTGTATTAAAATCTATGCCAGGTTTATATATTAGACACTTCAAATAATTGAATAACAAGAAAGGAAACTAACTTCGGGAGGCCGAAATTTGTATACCCTTGCTGTTTGCCATAGGATCGGTCATTCAATCAAAAATCTATCATAACTAAGCCAAAAAAGTATCAAATTCAATACGGAAAGCTTTTCTGTGCTAGTTTTTTCTAGGGTCACATTTCACATTTTAAGACAGCAATATTTTTGCCAATTTCTTCTTTGACAATTGAACCATTTTAAGACCTCATAAAAAAAAAAAAAATTAAAAAATTTGTTTTCTGCTAAATATAGCAAGGTCGACTCAGCTTTTTGTGCTGATCAAGAATATATATGATTTATAGGGTCGGAAATGACTCCTTCGCTGACTAAAATCATAAAACCCCTCAGAAAGGTCTAAAATATTCACACTCTTTAAATTAATATTTGTATATATTTTAAATGGTAATTTTTTGTAAAAAAAATATCATATCTAAGCCAACAAAGCATCAAATTCAATTCGGAAAGCTTTTCTGTGCTAGTTTCTTCTAGGGTAACGAAACTGCATACTAAATTTCACATTTTAAGACAGCAAAATTTTTGCCAATTTCTTCTTTGACAATTGAACCATTTTAAGACCTCAAAAATAAAAAAAAAAAATTAAAAAATTTTTTTTCTGCTATAACATGACTAGATCGACTCATCTTTTTGTGCTGATCAAGAATATATATGATTTATAGGGTCGGAAATGACTCCTTCACTTTGAAACACACTTTTGACTAAAATTATAATACCCTGCAAGGGTATAAAAATTATAACTGGACTCTAAGAAGTAGAAAACAATAATAAAGACCTAAAAATGTGAAACAAAGTTTGTTAAACTTTATAAAAATATTTAAATATCTAAACAAGGTATTAAGTTTAATTAATAAGTTTTCTGATTACTCAAAGTATTTTTTCTTTTAATAAAAATTCAAGAAAAGCTTAGAAATGTTGTAAAAAAATATTTTTAAGTTTAATTAAATACAAACCTAACAATTAAAATTTTTAAGATATTATATTCATCAAATTAAAGCATTCAAAAGCAATCTTAACATTTTATAGACCAAATAAACACTGTTAAAAATACACATACTTCTTTTTTTACCCCTTTATTGTCGCTTAATTGACTCTTCTCACTCGAAAAAAGAATTCAATTGCAAAATGCCATCAACGCGAGTGGTTTTAGGGCCCCATTTCAGCCCTGACTGCTCCAATATCCCTTCGCCCAGCTAATGCAATTGTCCGAACACTGCATCCACATCCGCATCCGCATTCGCTGCCATGACCCCGCCCTCTCTCTCTCTCTCTCCCCCTATTTGGATCGCCCTGCGAAATGGTAATCCTCCCGCTCTGATTGAATTTCCTCCGTTTTTGGCGACGGCTCGTGGCAGAAACTAGCGCAGGCCTCCAATTCCTAAGCCCCCCCAATGTCCGAGGACCGGACTGTGGACAACAAAGGCTTACCACACAGATTTCCACCAATCTGCCAGCGCATTTGCCTCTGCCTCCGCCGCCACCTCCTGTGCGCCATTTTCCAGCCAATTTCCCGGCACGGAAAGAAATGTTGTGTAACAAATTGTGACTAAAAGGGAGTTTTTAAAAGAAATTTATAATTTTAGATATAAATTAAATATTTTAAATGTTTTTGCCTAAATTAGGAAGAATAAGAAAATATCTTTTCTTGTTAAAATTGCATTTTTAATTGTTAAAAATTAAAAATAGACCAAATCTTTGCTATAATAATTCCTAAATTAAAGCTAAGACTGTATAAATAAGGATTATCATTTTTGGCTTTATTTTTTGTAATACTTTTGTACTACTTTTTTTTGTTAAGTGCATTCAAATCGAAATCGTTGCGCTGTTTAGTGCGCACTTAATTGAATTTCGCGTGTGCTGCAGCAGCTTCGCCATCCACAACACACACACACACCCGGTTGCAAATACCCTCGCACACCCATGCCACACACACACACACACAACACACTCGCTCTAGCTGTGTGTGTTGCATTGTCTAGGCCACAAACATTGCCAAGTGCATTTCGTGCAATTGGATAATTGCATTTGGCTTGGCGTCGCCAGCGTTTCCCAGCCAGCTTTCCAACGACTGCAGACACCATTCCGCACTTGTCACACGTGTTTTTGGTGAGCTCCGCCCCAGGTGAGCTAATTTGCAGGTGGCAACAATTAGCACGGCCAGCCTGAAAGTAGGCACTGCAACTAAAGTTACCTTACCTTATGGTAAATATTTCATTTTCCTCAAATATCAGATTTATTTTTTAATTTAACGAAAATACAATCAAACCAAGTGCCTTATAGCGGACAATGAATCGATCACAACTCGTCCCAATGCATCCATACCTCTAAAATACAAATCTTGAAGTGTGTACTCCAAAGTGGGTGTACATTTGGCCTGGCAATCCTTTAGGGTATGAAAAAAATTACCCATTATATGACAACCTATGGCATGATACTCTATGCAACCATGATCCACTCTATAGGTATAACCCAAGTTGTTCTCGGGACATTGGCCAATAACCTGGGGCCTCGTGGTGCAGACAGCTAAATCGTAGGTTAAGTTTAAGTTTTATAGAAGATGGGATTATGGTTTATATATTACTTACCATCCCTCTGAGCTAGGACAAGTCCAAATAGAAGAGACAAAATCAGCAAAGACTTCATTCCGGTTGGTTTAGCGTTTTAGAAACGACTGAATAATAAGACTTTACTCAGAGAGATTTACTACTTATTTACCTCTAAGTTTAATGCGGCAATAAAACCTTTATGAACTCTAAAGAACTTATTTAAGAAACCAATTACAAATTAACATAAATTAGCATTTACAGCAATAAAAAGAAATCTCAACAAAAATTGAGTTGTTCTCATTTATTCAAAATTTAAATGAATGAAATAAGGATACATTCAAAATTTAAATGAATAAAATAACTATGCATTCATCCCGGTTGTTCGGATTTAAGATGAATGACATAAGGATACATTCATTCCCATTTATTCAGCTTTAAAATGAATAAAAAACCTATACATTTTCCATTTATTCAGATTTAAAATAAATAAAAAAAGAATATATTCATTCCCATTTATTCAGATTTAAAATGAATGAAATAACTATACATTCATAGCACTCTTATGGCATACTGGCATAATTAACTAAGCTTTGCAACATATCTTGAACCTGCGACATGGCTCTGTTCATAAAGTTAACAAATCCATTTTCTCCATTCGAATTCTTAGATTCTGGAATGCATTTAAGTTTGCATTCATCCCTGGAATGGAAAAAGTTTCCAGTTACACTACAGGCACGAGTCCTAAATCTGTGGCATCTTTCTCTTCCCGCCAAATAGGTAAATCCTCGGATTCTCTGCTTACAATCACCAGTGACAATGGTCTCAGAATGACACAAAGCTGGGGTAAAAATAGAAAATAAATATTTTATAAATATATATTAAAGAAATGATTAAAAACAATAAATACTCACTATTATTTTGAGCCCAGGCAAGACCCACAATTATGGTCATTAGGCAAAATGCAAAAGCTAACTTCATTTTGTTTAGGTTTTAGGAAAGAACTATTCCACTCAGCTGTTTGGGAATGACTGAAAATTGTCAGCAAAGTGGGCAACAAGAAATACAGCCACGAGATGATTTGAATGAATGAATATTAGTAAGCAATAATTTAAATTTATATAAAGAAGGAAAACATTAATTAATCATATTTTTAAAGGATGTTGAAGCTTCTATACTCTTATATAAATAAGTTATAGGGGTTAATAACTACCAACCAAAGTTCTTCGTAATGCTTAAACTTTAAACAAAGTTTTTTTTTTTAGGTTTTTACGGCCATCGATTTATTTCAAAAATATTTTAAATACAATATTCGAACCTATATACATGTTTCCTGGTTTTTAGTATAGATATTATTATATAACATTTATATTTCCTGGTTTTTCCTATAGATATTTTCATATATTTCCCTTTTACAACCCATTTAAAGTTCATTATGTACGCATTTACCGATGAAACATATTTATTTTCCAAAGAATACAGTTCTCAAGGCAAATCAAAAAGCTGGGAAAAATAGTTGCGAGCCTGGGATCGAATTCGCTCCAAAAAGAAGCTAAATGGGGCCTCTTCAAAGGTCTCAATGGGCTTGCACTTGTGCTCACACTCCGCTCGAGAGTAGAAAAAGTTGCCAGCGATGTCACAGCCCCTGGCCGAAAAGTTAACACATCTCTTCCTGAGATCGGAGTAACTATAGCCAGACATCCTGTTCTCACAGGGACCAATAACCAGAGGCTCCGAAGCGCAATTAACTAAATTAAAAAATTAATATAAAAAAATGGAATTAAATTAAATTAAAAGTAAATCTTTGGTACTCACTATCCAATAGTTGTCCTTGGGCCAGGCCCAACAGGACAACGATGAAGGAAAGCGCTAAAAGGAACTTCATTTTCTTAGTTTTAACTCGGTTAATTTTTGGTAGTGAACTGCCTTCTTTGGATGGACTGCAACAACTGAGATTTTCAAGTAAAAATATCTACTCTTAAAAGCTGCTGAATGTTATTATAACTTAAATTAACATAAGCCTATTTGCATATTAATTACTTGACTTAAAAACTGTTTTGCAACTTTGACCTCATAAAAATTAAGGGTATATATTATTCTATATATTTTCAAATGGGTAAAGTTCTTCCGATGAGTAAAGTTTGATTTCGAGGTTACACATTTTGTAAATAAAATATATATGAATTTAGTTTTTTAATAAGTAAATTATATATATTTATAAGTTTAAGCAAGTTTTACTGGCTTAAAAATTAAGAGAACTAAGCTAATTTATGCGATTTTTTAAAGACCAAAAATGGTATTTTGAAAGTATATAAATTATTAAGAAAGGTTTAGTTTATGACAATATTATGCCGATTACTAAATAATATAGAATATATATAAATATATATTTATATTTAGCCCATATTTGTTTCTTGAATATTTATAAAATTATTACATATTATACAACTCATTACAATATTTCCATATTTTATTGCCATAATTTATATTTATATTTATTAAAATAAAAATTGAAGTTTCAAAAAAAGGTATTTATTATAATATTTTTTATTTAATTTATTCATTCCCTCCAAGTTGTCTTAAGAATTTTGCCAAATTATTTTGTAGCGTAAATAAACCCCTGTAGCTTTGAATCAGAAAGTTGTTCCATGAGAAGTCCTCGCGGCACCTTTCCTCGCACTGGCGTCTCGTATCGAAATAGTTTCCCTCAACGCGACAGCCACTCGCAGAATACGGGGTGCAACCATTTTTCTCCTTTGTAAAGGTAAATCCTGAAAGGACCTGCTCGCATTTTCCCTTGGCTTCGGGCTCATCACGGCATATTGCTTTATTGGGGAAAAATATAAGTGTTTCGTTGATGAATTCATTTTACCAGCATGTACTTACGATCCTTTTGGGCCAAGACTATGGTTAATAGGGAAAATATTACACATAGTGTGGCCTTAAATTTCATTGTTATTTTTCTCTGTGGTAAGAACTATCTTTCTCAGTTGTTTGTAAAGAACTAAAAGCTTTTTACTCAAGTCGAAAATCAAGACACCTCTGGTTCACTGAATTTATAATTTTATAGACCTATACGAAGTTTTATTTGAATAATAATGGCTTTGCATTTTTTACGGGAATAATTGTATAATTTTTAAATTATTTTTTTTTACAGGAAAAATACAAATATCAAAAGATATCATTCATATCATGTTGAAAATATCCAATGGTCATATTTATCGTAATTATAAATCGAAAAATATCGCATATCGCAAATACTTTAATATTAAATAAATTTTAATTTTTAGAATCTAAATTTTAAATAAAGAAAATTATCCAATTTATCGTTTTTTTTTTTTTTCTTTCTATTTCTGATATATCACAACCGTATATCGTTTTATCGCACCGATTAAAAATCGATTTGCCATTTAGATAAATCGATATTTTTCGATATTTTAAACACTAATAACATAAATATTATATCGAAAATATTGTGAATTAGATAAATCGATATTTTAAATAACGAAAATGATCCAAATTAGAGGTTTTAGTTTTCTGATATATCAAAACGATTAAGTATCATCTTTTTGGTATAGAATTTTGTTTCTAATTTCCATAAATTTTAGATAAATCGATATATATATTCCAATTAATATTCAACCCCAACTTAATATGCTGTGAAATTTCTGGCAAGCAAACATCTCGCATATTTACAACTGATTTGCACTGTAATGTGTAAGTAAAAGCCCTGTCCAATTTGTGTCGCATTCAGGTACATATATGCACATATATAGTGTGCAGTTTCATCCAACTAATTTGGCCCAAAAGGCACCATTCCATTACCATTACCAGTGGACATTAAAATTTCAAAAATCAATTTCAGAAATAGCATTTTGATTTGATTTAAATTGTAACGCCCCAAGGCCCCAGCCGAGAGACAGAGAGAGAGCGAGCTGGCACAGGTCGAGTATTATCCTGGGTGCTCAGCACCGCAAAGCCCTCCTCCGTGCACTCTCCACCTGACCTCTCACGCTCACCTGTGATGGGCGCAGGACCGAGCCGAGCCTATTTAATACGTCCAAAATAATTCAGCATAAATTATTCAGGGGGAAATTAATTCACTAACAACACCCAGTAACGGGTCGCTGCTGCCACTAAAACTTTAGAGTCAGGTCCTGCGGACCCATCCGGTATTCTAGTGTCCCGAATGTCCCGCAGTCCTCGGTGTCCTCGGTGTCCTGGGCGTCCTGGGTGCCGCATGTGCAACATTAGACACGAAATGGCAATTTTCCATTTGGCTAATGAGTTTTGCGGCCGACAGACTCCCAAATATAACAATTATGCAAAATTACAAATTCTCACAATTCTAATGGAATGCCCACCCCGAATGGGGCGTGCAAAAGGACCCTGGACTGGTGGTCCTCCGCTCGCTAAATGGAAATTTATTGGCGCCACTTGTCCGGGGCCTCGACTTTTGGGAACAGCTGCGACCAGGACACGCACACAGGAGGCTGGAAGGATATTATACCCGAAACACTGAACAAAATAATTGTTAGGAGAGCATATTTATAATACTTAACAATTAGTTGTGATTATTAAGCTCTCACAGAAAAAATTCCTGCAGCAAATCCAATCAATTTCACAGTCAAAATGCCGCAACCCCATATCATAGGTTGATTTTACTCTAAACTACAGCATAACGACGTAAAGCGTTATGTCTTATGACTGCTCTACAGTAAATCCAACCATGATTCTGCAGTTTCACTGTAAAATTACAGTATACAGTAATATCACACCCTAATTTCGGGAACATGAATACATACAATTCCAGAGAGAGATCAAAATATAATGTATCTATTTCTCTCTCCCTATCTCTCTCTTTCTAAGCTGCGTAAAACGAACAGTATCTTGACTGCAGCTTACAGTAAATTACAGTTTCCAAAACCAACAACAAAATACACACATAATTTGGAATGTATGGGTTACTATAATTGGCTGTCACAACATTTTCGTACAGTCAAAAATCCAACAACAAAATACATTTACTGTACTTTACTGTTAGTCACCGAAAGCACCGAAATCAGGTGGGGGAGGCGTAGTAGTGGTAGTTGTTGTGGTAGTAGTAGTGGTTGTAGTTGTGGTAGTGGTTGTTGTAGTGGTTGTTGATTTCGACAGATAGGCCAATCCACTCAAGCAGTGTTTATTGCAAACGTCGAGATAATGAAAGTATATATAAGTATCCATATAACATCTACGCGCTATGTAACATGATTTTGAGGTTTTGTTACACACATACACCTTGTCTGTACTGCAAAAACCCATATCGCCTAGATGAGCAGAACATTAACAATTAGTAATGATTACAGGGCATTGCTATTTGATTTAACTTACCGAGTCTGCCTAGGAAAAAGCCAAATAAACTCAAAAAAAATATGATTAAAACTGCAGGCCTCATGGTGATGCCAAAAACGATGACTTAAGATGATTTGTCCAACAGTCAGTGTCAATTGTTTCGGGAAGACTGAAGGTACAAATCAAAATGTGATGGAAAAATTAAAAGAATTTGTTACAGTCTACGGCTCATTAATCCGAGACTGACTTGCTTTAGGCATTTGGTTAATTTAATTGGTTTTGAAATTGGTTTTTTCCACCATAATTCCTATTAGATGAGTAAACTATTTCTAATAAAAATTACAAATTAACAATTAATAATTGACAAGATATAAATCTTTGTATATTTAATATAAAACTCTATTATTATTATTTAATATTATTATTTAAATCTTTTTCATTATTTATTAATATCTTATTATTGTTTAATAATATTTTTAAACTTTTTTTTTTAATTTGTATTGTTTTATAATATTTTATTATTACTTTATAATGTTTTATTATTATTTAATAATATTTTTAAATTAATTTTTAATTATATATATTTTTTTAATAATAATTATTTAAGCACTTCCATGCATTTCCTCATTTTAAGTTGAAAAATAATATTTTATTATTATTTAATAATATTTTAAAATTATTTCCTAATTGTATATATTTGGAATAATTATTTTTTAAGCCTTTCCAAGTCACATAAACATTTTTCTCAGTTCATCGTTCAATTATTTTGCGTGTGGAAATTTGGCGGAAATAGTCTGTAACATGATATGCTAACACTTGTGGTGGCTATATATACACACATATATCTTTTGTGGGTGCCGTGTGCCTGGGCACCATAAATAAAGTTTGTAAAATGTATTTTTTTTTAATAAATTTACTCAAATAAATTAAAATGTCGGCTGCACCTGCATGCCGCGTGGGGGGTTTTATGTTGAAGTAACAATTAATTTTAATTGCAATTGAAATGTAACTGAAAATGATGGTATATGAAATAAAAAATAAAGGATAGATGTGTGTTCTGGTTATGAATAAAGCAATGAATATATATATATTTGATATATAACTTGTAGATGTTGAAATATATCCTAGTTCGTTCCCACCACTATCAATTTCCACAATTTGCCAACTGAACAAGATACTTTGCAAGATCTTTGGGCTATCCGACAATCTTTAGCTTTGATCCCTTGACTTGCTATTATTTTTCCCTTCACTTTTCCCATATATGTAGGCACTTTTCCACCCCGCTGGGAGAAATGGAAATTCTTTGACTAATTAAGCCACTGAAGTGCATTGCAAAAGAGAGAGGCGCCATTGCCATAGGCTGGGAAGGCAAGACACAACATCGACGCCACTCTGATGGTTCATCAAGACCAGTTACAGTTATGACCAGAGTCTTTTGCGGCAAATGCAATTAATTTAAATCAATTGATTCGTTTGAGGACAATTTAATTGTATGCAGACAACGACGACAACTCACAGTGCATCAAAAGATGAAATCGATTGTCGAGATGATTTGCCAGAAGTCTGTAATTGCCTTTAATTGAATCGAATTGAGTTTGAGGTGCATATGACAACGTTAAAGGCGACGCAAAGTCGCCCCACAAAATATACATATATATCCACATATATCCCGCATTCCCTCCCCGATTTCGATTCCAATTCCCATTCCCCATTCTTTCCTCCAATTGAATTGTGCACTTAAATTACAAGTCCCTCGTCTCGTTCTCGTTCATCAAGTGAATTTATCAAAATTATATGCAATTTAAAGATTCTTTTTCACAATTTGAGTTCGATGAGTAAGCTCTGATTCTGATTCTCCATATATCGATTTTCGATTTCGATTGCAGCTCGGTCCTGCAGCCGCGGGCAGAGGAATGTTTTGCTACCAATGTCCACCTGCCCTTCATCCCTGCGGACCCCATCCGCCGCGCCTGCCGACGCTCGACTATCCCTTTGCCGCCACCCATCCATGTGAGTATGAAACAATAGCTAAGATGTAGTAATTAAGTAGTGGAAAAAATAAGAGGAATATATTTAAAAAATAAAATATGCCTCGAGAAAAGTATTATGGCTTTGGCAGGAGGCTTATGAATCTCTTGAACCAAATTTTATCGATCGATAAAGCCGATATATAAATAGATATTTTTGCGCTGCGATAAATGTGCGATAAATCAAAAAAATAAAAATCGATAATATATCTTAACGTTAAACATTGCCATAGCACACACTTTAACATATACGATAATTCGATTGTCTGTTTGGTATATCGAACAAATCGATTATTATATGGATTATATAAATTATCGGATTATATCGATATTTAAAGGCATTTATTATTTTAATACATCAAAGGATATTGACATATGTACATCCTTACCCGCACCTGAGCTTGGGATCTCCAGCTCGCAGATCTAGATATTCCATATGGTTCGTTCTCTCCCTCTCTGACCAAAGAAAACATACTTTTAAAAGCCTTGTAACAGCTGATTTTGAAAAAAAGCATTAATATAAAGCCACCCCATAAATATATCATAAAATACAATATACAGTATATAGACATCATCTGCTGGAACAGATGGAAATTCAACTGGCAAAAGTACAATCTTTGCCCTCGCATCGAATTAAATTTTAGATAAAAAGCCAATGATAATCGCCGCTGCCTGGCTGCTGTCATCAATGGATTATTTGTCTATATCGCCGTATCTCTGTATCTTTGTAGTTACATTAACGAATTATTCTATTAGCAGCACGTTGAAGAGCTGCCATAGGGTTGGTTAGGAAAGTAGGTAAGCGTCTCTGCCCATTCCCCCTTTGTGGCATATCAGATTTCATGGCCTGCACAAGTCGAGAGTTTGCCACGGTCAGAGGGTAAGTGCCCAGGAATGGTTAAGGATTATATATATAGATAGAAGAAAATTAGCAAGAAATAATTTTAGCAGTGTTAAAAAAATAATTATTATTATATATTTTTATAAGAAGGGTACCCAGTTCCGAAGAAAATTCCTGCAAAAACAGCATTGCAATTTGATTTGCCTCGAAAACCCCTTCCTTTCCCCCATAAACTTGGCCTGGCACTCCAGAGTTGGCCATATAACTATAATTGAATAAAACGAAAAAAGAGGAACCACTCTCAATCGATATTCCGGAGTGCAGAAAGAGGGGATTTTCTGGATATTTTTTTACCTTTTTTTCTGTTTTTTTTTTTTTTTTTTGTGGGGGAACCAAAGGAGTGGCCGAAAAGGCAAAGCTCAAGCAAACGTGTCGGAAAGTGAAGCTATAACCCATACGAATTCCGAATTGCAATTGGAATTGGTATCCAGGAGAAGGTAGGAAGGGGAATTTTGGATTTCATATTATGCAATTATCGAATGGCAAAGCGTTAATGCTTTGCCATGCAAATTTTCCTTCGTCGTTTCGGAATGCGGCGACAGATTTCGAGTCGAGTTGAGTCGAGTTGAGTTGAGTCGGGTTGAGTGCCTAGGCATTTATCGAAAATCATAAATCAAAGCCGCCGTCAGCGGCCTGGAAATAGTGAATAGTTTATTGATTTTTTTTAGCCATAAAAGGCACCGCCAAAAATCAGAGGGAGAGAGAGATTCATACCTATAGTTTTTGGCCTCAAATTGCAGTGCATTTTTGGTGTTTTCGTGTGTGTACTGCCGCTGTGTGTGTGCCTGTGTGTAATGGGATTAGTTGGGGACTTACGAACGCATTACGTAACGTCTCGGCACGTAGACCTCCTCCTCTTCGACCCTCTTCTCCTTTAACTGACTGTTCCTGTAATCCTAATCAGGTGCAAATTCCATTTACTCCTGACTGATTCAATATGACAGACGGAACGATAGACAGACGCTGCGATGCGATAACTTATGTTGGTTTCATCGGGAGGGAGGGGTCACCTGAGGTGGTCTGAGGTCACAGGTCCGAGGTCGAGGGACTACTGGCTGTCGCTTTTGATTTGCAACAGCTTAATGTGCTTCTAATGCAATTTACTGAAAGATAATTTTAGTCTTCGGGTGATGGATTTGACTTTGTCTTTGATTCGGTTTAGTTAATAGGAAAATAATACATTTTTGAAATGAAAATTGTTAAATTTTTAATAATTATGACTTAATTTACAAAATACTACATTTTTTAAGCTTGATAAATAATTATTAATTATGAAAACTTAATAGTTTTTATAAGGCTAGCATATATTCCAAGTGTTTTTAGTAGTTAACATAGTTTTGAAAATTTTAAGGATATTTTTCAGGTGTTTTTATATGTTTCTTTTTAAGTTGAATTATTAAATACTTAAATAAATAAATAAAATTAAATACTTTATCATTTTGTATCATTGTTTTTTTCTTAACCAATAGGTATTTGCTTTCAAAAATCAAAAATAAAAATTCCCCCGATAATTTGTATAGCTAATTCAATTTTCTCAAGATTCCCATTCGTGATTCCTTTACGTGACACTTACCCTTTCCACTTCCCCCTCCCTTTCCCATCTCCCCAAGAAGCCAACCCCTGTGTATCTGAGCTGAGCTGACACCGAGAATGCCTCTCAATTGCTAAACTAATTTAAAATTTTTGCCAACGCGTGCCCGGACTTTCAAAGCTCTGAAATTGAGACGGTGACACTTTCCACAAAAAAAAAAAAAGAAATAATAAAAGGCTGCCAAGGGAATTCGACCTTTTGCTGGGAGATTTCCCGGCTGCAGACTCGTATCGGATTCCCGCCAAAAGAAACTAAAACTAGGCCGAGAAACTACTCCTAATGAATGCTAATTCCTTGGCTCTCAGATTAAGTAAGCGAAACTGAAATCGAATGAGAATTGATTTTTGCCCAAGAAGCGGCAGACAAAGTTGCAGACTTATCCACATGTATCTTACGGATACAGATACACACAGCTCCGGCGTGGGCGGAGCCGGTAGGGAGGTTAGTTTTTGGCATCGAGCTGATTGCAAGGACGCCTCTCTTGGCTCTCGACTCGAACTGCTCCTGCGCCCAGACCGAAAATCCCTTAATGATGGTTTCGCTTGTTATGCCAAATGTTTAAAAAATTGAATTATCTCCCATTACCGGAGCAGCTAACGAGCAGACGCAGAGCTACAGTGTTCAGTGCACTGCGAGAAATGGGGTTTGGAAATATATATATATTTTTTTTGAGAAAAGTTATACTTGATAAAGAATTATATTAATCATATTTTGGAGTGTGTTTATGATCAGAGTTTTAACTAGGGCTGAAGGTTAATATATACATATCGTAAATATATCGATATTTGAAATGAAATTAGATAAAAAATTCGATATTTCCGATAACATGGTTGTGCAAAAAACCCATATTTTGTTTGATATATCGAACTTATATTAAAGGTAAAGTAAACAAATTTGTAATGAAATATCTTAGAAGCTCAGAACTTTTTTGTTCAGTGTCCAATGAGACGCAGAGGCAGTCAGCACAAGGATATATAGATGTATCGCCTGGCTCACTGGCTGGCTGACTGACTCGCTTGTCTGCTGCTGCTGCTGGGGCCCCCTTTTGCGTACTTTTTGAATCAATTTGCCAACAAGGATTTGTTAATCCTGTCTTCCTGACAAGTGCGGTTAGTTGACTTGTTGTTGCTGCTGCTGCTGCTACATGACGTTTGATGTTGCTGGCCAGGGAAATGGGAAATCGTTTTGGAATGGGTGGAAATCCAGCATTGAACACTCCTGGTACTGCTGCTACTGGGCAAAGCTTTCAGCATGAAATTCTTATTGCCGGGTTTTTCCGGGGCAGTTTTCGGCCTCGGCGCTCTGGGATTTGCACTCGAAACCTAATTGTGCTAATTGCTGCTGCCATTTCTGGCCACTCCGGTGTACTGGCCTAGCCCGAGGCATTTTCCTCTGGGCCTGTGGGGGGGCGGGACATTTCCATTTGCATTTTAGGCAATTATTGGCTGCAAAGAATTTGATTAGCAAGAAAATTGCACTGCAGTCGAGAAGAGGCAGTCGAGATGAGACAGAGATGAGCTTGGGGATGATGAGGCAAATGAGGAAGATCGTGAGATCGTGTTTAACCGAAAAGAAGAACTAGAAAGGTTAAACTAAACATTTTCTGTGGAGTTTTCCTGGTGAAATATGTTTTGTAGAAATATTTTTCTGTTTTTAGTTACTAAGAAATATTCTTTGAAATTAGTTTTGATTAAATTTAAGCTTTTGGAGTTCAACTCCTGGCCTCACTTTGCACACCTCTAAACAGAACCTAACTTGGCTTTAATTTAGCTACCCAAAAATTATGCTGAGTGCGCCATACTCGAGCCGTACTCATCGACTATTCGATTTGCTACTTGACTCCACCTCAGCTCTTTGAGCTCAATTTTGAAAGCCGAAATGCGTGCTTCATTAGCAGGATATCAAGGATAACTAGGATATCTAGCATTTCGATGGCCTTACCTGTGTGAACCCAGAGAGAAAGCCGAAAGCTGAGTGGAAACATTTTCTAATTATTTTCCGTAATTAAATATTAATCGGTGGCAGCACTTGCCAGGACAGAGAAAAACGTAGCAAACAACATTAGTGCGCATTACAGAGTCTCTAGGGGATTGCCAAGAGAAAGATAGAGAGACAAAGACAGAGACAGGGAGAGAGATACTACATAGAGAAAAGGGGTGGATGGTGGCTGGTGGGCGGTACGACCTTCAGGCCGGCGCAAATGAATGGCAAAGTAACAACATTTCAGCTAATCGGATTAGAGCCCTCCTCTCACAAAAAAAAAAAACGGAAAGGTTGACACACCCACACAACGGCAAAGGCAGACAGAGAAAAAGAGAGACTGGCTTTGGCAAGAAGGAAAATTAAAATTAAATTTTGCAATTTGCCAGCTAATTATTTATTTAAAATCAAATTGAAAATTAATTTTACAACACGAACACGAGAGAGAGCCCAGTCCAAGAGAACCCGGGCAAAAAAGGTCCGGCAAAGTTTCCGCCTTTCGACTTTCGACTTTGGTTTTCCGGGGGGGAAAACTGGAAAAGCGAGGAAAAGAGGATTGCCAGGCCGAGGTCAAGTGGGGCCTGTCAACGGCTTTTCCTTTCCTCTCTCCTGGCTCTCAGAAAAGGCTGTTATAAAATATTTTGCAGCATACAAAATGGCGCTGCTGCTAGAAAATTCAATTAGCCAGCAATTTTTGGCAACAGCTGGCTTTCAGCAGAAAAGGCAACAACTTGGTCCCTGGAAAATGGGAAAATTCATAGGGACGGGGGAGGCAAAGGAACTTCTGGCTTGAATGAATTCCAAGGCAGTTACAGTTTGGGTCATCTAAAATTTAGAGAAAACTCCCCGCTTCACTGCAGATATCGAGAACTAAAACAAAAAAGTGTAATGGAATTCCATATTTATATCTATAAATAATAAAGTAAAGGTAGTTAAGGGTTGGCGGATGTTTAGAGTTATGTGAAGTACCTGGAAAGGTATTTGAAAGTATCAAGTTTCTTCGTTTTTTGGGGGAAAAAGACTGAAAATATCGAGCTGAAAAGTCAGATTTTATATATCGATAAACATAATGACTTGCATATCATATGCTTCGAATTATTTTTGCTGCTTTCCTCCTCAATTTTCACATATTTTCCCTCCACAATTCAAGTCCCTCACTATTTTAATCCTCAACTATTTAATTAATGGCCAGCGCCGCCGCCGCCTGGCCAGGTGAAGACATATATCCGCAGCTTAGTGGCACTTATGCCCTTGCACCTTTCTCGGCTGCAACTAGAGTTAAAATTAAGGCGCTAATGCAACACCAAACACTGGCTGACTCTCCTCCTGATCTCGATTCCCCCCAGATACCAGCTACTCGTATCATCCTGCCATCCACGATGAGACCTTCGTCCGGCGGAAGCAGCGACGGAACCGCACCACCTTCACACTGCAACAGGTAAGACAGAGCAAAGAAGCGCTTGGGAAAGTTGTGTTTAATTTTTAATTCCGGCAGCTGGAGGAGCTGGAAACGGCCTTTGCCCAAACTCACTATCCGGATGTATTTACACGCGAGGATCTGGCCATGAAAATCAACCTGACCGAGGCACGGGTTCAGGTAAGCAACAAGAAAAAACCCTTCGAAATTATGGAAAATAAGCAAAAGAGTTGTGAATTACTAGGGAAATATTTAAAATTCAGCCAAGAAGTTGAGGAAATCGTATCAAATTTCATAAAAGTATATTTAAGAGTGTAGAAGAGACAGACACAACCCTAGACCGGTCACGCAGTCTGATCAAAGCCCTCAGTTTTTCTCTATTAATAATGCATATGCAAGGACTCGAAGGATAACCCTCAAACGGGTTCTCGGGGTGGCAGGCCTAATGCAATAACTGCCTTTAAAAAATATTTTCTATATACATTTTCAATGACGTTGAAAAAAAGGAAGGCAAGTCAGCCAAAATATGCAAAGTTCTTGAGCGTTAACAGGAAAAATATGAAAAATGAAAAGAAAGTCTGGGAAAAATGGCAGGGGCTGTGAGCTTGGCAAATTGTTCTCCGCTGTTTGCTATCAAGAGCCTCGAAACCTCTCTCCATAAAAATAAAATTTATTTTTAAATATAAAAGAGTAGGAGGGAAGAGTACCTAAGCCCAGGAGCTTAGGAAAATTTTGAAAAACAATATGAGTTTTAGGAAGTTACTAAAGAATCAAAGAATATAGGAAAGAAAAATAACTAACTAACTAATAACTAAACTCAAACTAGTTTGTTTTAGTTACTATGAATATTAAAATATTTTTAAAATATTAAAAAAATATTTAAAAAATTATTTAAAATTTTAAAAATATTTTTAAAATATTTTAATAATTATTACTCTATAAAAACGTTAAAATCTAAACTGTATTCAGTAATAAATATTTATTATTATTTATTTATTTCCCCAAAACACTTGTAGCCTTAATTAAAATTTAATCTACCTTAATTTACCCACATTTCCATATCTTTTCTGTACTATTTAACGATTAACGTCACACGGTCGCCATTATTTCTAGCAATTGTGTCCAAAATTAGACTCAGATTAGAATTTAAGGCCTTGCCTGGGCTTATTGCTATGCAAATTGAGTGAGGGAACAGATTGTTTAGTGCCGAAAGTAGAAGAGGTAAGTGTATGGAATTGCAGCTACATTTGTCAGATTAGCGCACGGCAAGCTGACAATTAGCGGATAGCACTTCCTTTCACACAAAAAGATACTGATGCAGATACATTTACAAGTGAGAAAAGTTTATTCCGGAGATCTTAAGGTGGGCGAATTTCCATCTCCGGCACTCGAGCACGTCGCCGGTACCTAAGGCCGAAAGCAGATTATGCAATGAAACTGGGCAACTTAATGAGGATGCTGCCACTAACTAGACACGTTTCGCAAAAAGTATCCGAGAGATACGAAAAGCCCACGCACACTTTGGTGGCCATTAAAACACTTTGGTGGCGTTTTCCATTCCGCGACATCCTCTCCATTTTTCTATTTCCGGCACAATTAGCAAGGCAGCAGGCGCCTCTTGGCATTAGCTAACCAGCTAGCTTTTCCCAACCTTCCTGGCATATATTTTCCCAGGCGTAACCAGATACTTTCAATTCAATTTGTCATAAAAAAAAACACAAGCCAGCAATTTGATATTTGTTATTCCAAGTTAAATATTTGTCAAGTGTCCAAGTTTTTTTTTTACGACAATGGGACACTTGCCGCAAACACGTGTTCTTGTCAGGCCAAACACAGTTATAACAAGTTAATAGGAAAAGCTACAACCCCCGTTTTCCATTTACTCTGCTCTTGTTTTTTGTATCTGTCAGATATTAACAACTTTTGCAGCGTCCAGGAGTTCTTTAACGAAAAATTGTGTGAAAAAAACTGGGGAAAAAGCGAAAAAAAAAAACAACATTTTGAGTGGACAGACAGCTTAGTCTGGGATTTCGATAATGGAATGAATGCCAAATATTTTGATGAGGGTGAGCTCTGTGCGCTACTCCTCCGCCAAACCGACCGCATTTTGACACATTCTCTTTCGGCTGCGGATGCGGAAATAAATTTTATAATAAAATTTATTATGTCTACTTGGCTCTCTGCCAGGGGCATCCATCCCCCTGACTCCTGTTTAGCCGCTCACTTGCCTGTAACCTGATACGTTATCCACGGGATTTTTTCATCTGTAAATTTCTGGTCCTGGCACAGGACTCCTGCTCCTGTCGCAACGCATTCGAGTTCAGTGCAAAAATCATTTACTTAATGCATATCCCAGGCGGGCTTATGGCCGCAGCTGGGATCAGGGATATATATACATATATATCGGTTATTTACCTGACAAGGACGAAGCACTTTGAAGTCGCTGGCTATAATAAGCGATATTGATTGATAAATGAGTGGGAAATTTGATTTTCGATTTTGTTTTTTCTTCTTTTGGGGTGAAAGTTTTGAGGAATTGGGGTTGGCACTCATAGGAAAATGTTTTTGAAAAAGATTTGCATGCCATTAAGCGATTATTTGGAATTTGTTGAATAATAAATGCTAGTTGGGGAGATTTTTAAAGCTATGTAAGTCTTTTTTGGAGTCTTGGATACTTTTAAATAATTTAAAAAATTTTCATTAATTTAATTCAAGCTGAGTATAGGGTTTTTAGATAAGAAATAATTTAATGGGATTTTTTAAACAAGTCTTACTTATTTTATTTTAACAATGAAGATAACCTTAGTCAATTTTATTTACTCTAGAATTTATTTAGAATTTTATTTTAGATTTGGGACTCTTAGATACTTTTATACAATTTTAATAATTTATTTAATAAAGTTTTAATAATTTTATTATAACTATAAATATATCCTAAGCTAATTTTATTTATTTTCGAATATTTTTTAGATTTTAAAAGGTGTATTTGATTAATTTCCACCCCTATTTCCCATTTATTTGGATCATTTCTAATACAATGCTTTCAGGCACATGTCCATCTCTACATTAATAATAATATTATCAGCAATAAGCCCTCTCCTCGTCTCTTGAAATACCAGTTATCAATTTGCCAAAACTAAGGCGATAAATAATGAAGTCGTTAAACCCGCCGCGATTACCGCCTCTCGCATTTCCGACTACAACTACATACCTCATACATAACTAATTTGATTAGAATTAATGTCCTGGCTGCAGCATGACAATTCGAAATATTCACATTCACATTCACATTCACATTCACATCAGAAAGCATCCAATCGGAAATGTGGCACCACCCACTCGGGTGGGCACCGCAAAAGGGCTGCTTACCGCATATAATGCCAATAATTGATAATTTATTATAATCACAGGGCCCAAGTAGCGCGATGTGAGAAACTCTTGGGAGAGAAAAAACCGCAGAAGATGAGGAGGGTTAAGGAAATTGCACCGAGAAGAAAAGGAGATTGATACTTTTCAAAGAGAGCAAAAAGTAATCAAAATTAAAATATTTTTAGAGGAAATTAAAATAACATTTAAATTAAATTAAATAAAAATTAAAAATATCATATTATTTAATTCATTTTATCATATAATAGCATTCTATCTTAATAAAAACAAAATTATTTTATTTTATATAAAGCCCAGAATTACAACTTGATAATTCTAAGCAATCACAAAATTAAACATATTTTTGTATAAAATCGATTTAGAAAAAGATTATCAGATAAAAACCGGTTAAACACGATATAAGAAATAAAAATATACTATAGAAATATATAAAAACATTATTTTTATATTTTTGAGGATTTAAAAACTCTATAGAATAACATTTTGAGAATTTAAAGAATGCAAAAAATGGAAACTTCATATAAAACTATGTATATCGACCTCTAAAAATCTCTATAAATCAAGCTTAAACTTTAAGATATATCAGCAGTTCCTAGCTTAAATATTTTATTCCCCATTTTTCTTTCCCACAGTTATATATTTTTTCTCACTGTGTATAGCATTGGCTGTCTGACCGGCCAGCCTGTCAAATAATTGCATTTGCTCGAGTAATCCTTTAATGCTGATCCAAGTTGATGGCCGCCTCGAATCAAGTCGAGACCGCCTTATGGTGGCCGCAGGACATGGGCGGATGCCCAACCCTCCGGAAAAGAGATTGCCATAGAGGGGGGAAAAGGGGTGTTCGGGGTGTGTGTGTGTGTGTGCGGTGTTGGCTGCTGCGGTAGCCCAATTATTGTTGTTGCCACTGCCAAAGGGTTCACCGTTTAGCCGGGAGCGAAATGCGTTTGATATTAACACATCTGTTCATTCATTCCACTTGAGCTGCCTTGTGCTCTTTGGCTTCCTGCAAGGACTCGAGCTAAGGTCCTTGGTCCCTGGGTGTTGTTTGCACTGAGTGTTTCCCGGGATCGAGACAAACTGTTTGCGGAAGCTAATGGTGCGCACTTGTCCGTAATTACCCCTGCGATTCCAGAGATTCAGCGATTCTGGGTGGTGTTTATATACCCCTTGTTCTTGGTCCTTGTTTCGCCCATTGTTTCCGCTCCTTTATTTTCCACTGTGTAATTCGCTGTGTAACAACTTTTTCTGGCATTGTTTGCTTGTTTGTTTTCGTTTTCACGGCAAATCGGTTTTCGTGTAACTTGTAACCGCACCAACTTTGTGCCTGAATAATTGTTATTATGTTTATTATTGTACTTGGCATTGTTCTTCAAAAATTATGAAAACAAATTTCGTCGCTTTGGGCGTACTTTGGCTTGAGTAAATAAATTACTTGGAGTGGTTCTAAAGGGTCCTCGTTTTGAGAGAGGGAGAGTGTATGTGTTGATAAGGAGTGACATGTGCTAAGGGTAAATATATTTGTTTAAAAGGAAGGATATTTGTAGAGCGGGATTTATAGGAATATATAATAACTAAATGATTACAAAACAAGAAAGAAAGCTAACTTTGGCCAGTCAAAGTTTGTATACCCTTGCAGGTAACAATTAAAATATATCATAACTATGCCAAAAATGCATTAATTTCGATTCGGAAAGCAGTTTTGTGTTAGTTTTTATTAATTTAAAAAAACTGCATACCAAATTTAAAATTTTAAGAAATCACAATTTTTGGACATTTTTGCCAATTTTAATGATGTAACCCCTTATCAAATTTCGCAAAAAAGGCCAAAAAATCGATTTCTTCCGGACATGTCTAGAAAGATTCGCATGTTAATGCTGATCAAGAATATATATGGTTTATGGGGTCGGAAATGATTCCTTGACTTAGAAAAATATTATTTTGTATTATAAAATCTGATTTTTTATATTAAAAAACTTCTTGATTTTTTTTTAAATTAAAAATATCATAACTCGGCCAAAAGAGCATTAATTTTAAATCGGAAAACTGTTCTGTGCAAGATTTTCTACAGTTAATAAATCTGCATACCTTATTTAAAAATTTTGAAAATTTAATTTTTTTTTCGAAATCAAAAATTTTAATGATGTAACCCCTTATAAAATTTTGTAAAAATGGCCAAAAAATCGATTTCTTCCGGATATATCTAGAAAGATTCCCCTGTTGATGCTGATCAAGAATATATATACTTTATAGGGTCGGAAACGTCTCCTTCACTGCTTTGCAAACTTCTGACTGAAATTATAATACCCTGCAAGGGTATAAAAATAGCAATAAATATTTACATTAAATTATTTTGATATTTTCGACGACAATCATATTTTGCGATATTTAAATATTGGTTATTTCAATTATTATTAAATTCCATATTTTGTTATTTATTATCCATCTTAGTTATTAATTAAATATTTGATACCATATAATTGTATGCTCAATATGCATTTTAATCTTTAAATTTCAATTCTCCACTTAACACTTTCTCCTAAAAGTATGCCCTGTGACTTTTATTAAAAGAAAAATCAAATATTTTCATAGATGTCATCTTCCTACAAAGAAATATAATAAATTAAATCTGAAATAACAAAATGGAAATTCACCTAAAATAGAATTGAAAAGAAACAAAGGAGACCCTTTGCATATTTCAGTATGTCCTTTTGGCCTCCCTCTCCTCCATTTTGAAAAGTAATTCCAAGGCAAAGCAAGCAATCAAGGAACTAAACCAAGCGAATTGAATAAATAAGAAACACGTTAAAATGTGTACAAGTGTGTGTGTGTGTGTGTGTTTTGGTAATAAAACAAAGCAAAATTGTGCATGAAATTATGATTGAAAGAGGGAGGGAGATAGCTACACAGGACGAGAGATAGAGAGAGAGAGAGACACACACACACAATTGTTTTTCATTATTCAATTTTTGTTACAAGTCAGAAGGAGAAGGAGCCACTTTATATATATCCTTCTCTCTTTCAGCACACCCCTTGGGGCATACACACACACAGACACACATATACCTACAGTGAGGAAAAAGTTTTGGGGCCCCAGCCATATTTTATTGGTAATGTGCTTATGGCATAAATATTGTATTAAGTAAACTGGTGGGCGGCGTCACCACCATCATACGGAAAAAAATGAGGGAAAGTTACTCCCCCCCGGGTGGGTGGTTGGGTGTAGCCTTTTGGGGGTTGGATTGTGCGCAATTTATTGTTTGGATAAAAGGGAGTTTGGGGGGCAGGAGCAGGAAGCTCTGGGGCAACATGGCCGACGCCATGAAGCCAGGAAAAAGGAGGATGTTGCCTTTGGGCTGAAATTGTTTTATGCTTCTCCTGTTATGATTACAACAATTGGGAGCCAACAAATGCCAACTTTTGGCACAAATGTCTAATTTGAATTTTGATTAGGAAATTTACTTACACACACACATACACATACAGACACATACCATAAGAGAGAGCACAAGATGGCGCCGAAAATCCCATTAGAGGGCGCTCTAAGCTTGGGGAATCAACGGAAAACCGGAAACTAAAAGCAAACGAAGGTTAAGGAAACAAGGGGAAGTAAAGGGAAAAGTCAGGGGGGGGGAGGAGGGGGTGGAGGGGTAAAGGGAAACACGCGCGCATAAGCAAACAATTTGTAAGGATGTGTCTAAGGAATGCCAAGGCAAGGCATTGTCTTGATTGAGCCTCATTAGGACCAGGCAGCCATGTGTGAGTTTGCCAGTGCCCCCCACTTCCTGCCTCTAGTAAACCCCCTTACAAACCCCCTTTACCCCCTGTATCCCCCTTGTTACCCCATCCAATTTAGGCGCTGATTACAGGCCAAAATTTGTTTTGTCTTTGGCGAAAATTGAAAATCCGATTTTGTTTGTTTATATATATTTGTTTCTAAGAATGCTTGGGCTTATATATATTTAGATTGTTAAAGTTTGCTGAGGTGGAAAATTTCGTTTATTGTTTGGCCCTGGCCACAATTTTCCCCCCAACTCTCTCTCTCTCTCTCTTTCTTTGTGTATCTCCCGGGGAAAGTTTTTCAATTTCCAATTGGCCGGGAGCAAAAACTTGGCTCTTGGCATAAATAATAATAGAGACATGTGGCCATATCAAGGCAATTTTCCTCAAAAAAAAAAAAGAAAACTTTCTCAATTTCATTCTGGCTTACCATTATCCTTTTCCCCAGGTCTGGTTCCAGAATCGCAGGGCCAAGTGGCGCAAGGCAGAGCGGCTCAAGGATGAGCAGCGCAAGCGGGAGAATGGCGAAAGCACCAGCTCCTTGGACAAGGTGAGCAGTTTATATATACAAAATAAATTTTTTAAAATTTTTTACAATTTAATAAATAATATTTCTAGCTCCATGACTCACGGGAATCCTCGCCAGACATCACCGGCGAAATAGACGACGATATGGATGAGCTGCCGCCGCGTCAGCGTTCTCATAGTCCGCTGCTGGCCAATGGTGGCTCTTTGGAGCAGCAGCAGCAACACCATCACTCCCTTGGACACACCCATTCGCATTCCCTCACCCACTCACGCAGTCCTGGCGGTGGCGGCGGCCTGCATTTGGATACCAGTGACAATGAGCGCCCGCTGTCCTCCAATCAACTGACCACCACCCCACATTCCGCCAGCCAGTCGCTGGGCTCGATTAGTGCCGGCTCTCCTTCGCCATCGGGCCTGCGGGATCGAGAGCGGGATCATACGCCACTGGCCAACAGCGGTGGAGGAGGAGGAGGAGCAGGTCAAGGTGGTTCCCCCAGCAGCCCCTCGAATTCAAGGAACACTGACTCGCCTATTGAGGTAGGCGGACCCATGTCACTGACCACTGGGTCTAGAATGCCGGTGACTACCACCTCCTCGAACAACTCGGCCTCGTCCACGCCGACGCCCACCACACCGCATGCTCCGCAGTTGCCGCAAATGCCACACTCCTCGGCAGCGGCGGCAGCGGCCTTTGGCAGTCACATCTTTGGGAGCTTTGGCGGTGGCGGAGGTGGGGCCAGCGATAGGTGAGTTTATTAAATTATTAAAATTACAAAAATTATATTTAAAAAATATATATATTTAATATAAAGCATATTTTCTTAATTAAACCAATCTTAAAAAGATGATGAAAGAGCTACTTAAAAAGGCAGCTTAAACAATGAGATTCTGGCATTTTTATAATATTATGTATATATTTTAATATAAATATATACATAAAGTTGCATAATTTTAGCCTCTTCTTTATGTGTTTATACAATAAATTATTATATACCGGAGGAATCTGATAGATAAGAACAAGCTTTTTGATGATAAGCCGAAAGTTCTAGTCGAAACGGATGGCTATAAATTCCAGGAGCACCTGCAGTTTAAGCTTCAGTTTATATTTTTGACTTTGTCAGCAAAGTAAAGTATACAAAAAAATATATAAAGTATAAACAAAATATATAAAGTATATAAAAAAATATACAAAGTATATAAAAAAATATACAAATTATAAAAACATATACAAAGTATAAAAAAATATACAAAATATATAAAACCAACTTCGCTATGAGGCTGCTGATTTTCTTGGTTGCATTTGCTGCCTTTTTGGCTAGTTCCTTTGCTCTGAAAAATGGTTAGTAATATCTTACAAAATTTCTTAAATATTTCCTGAGCTAACTACAGTTTATAAACATTAATAGAAATCTGCGGTCAACCTCATTCCCGCAATGGTAATGGCAAAATCACCTGCGAAGCTTATATTCCCAGTTGGACCTACGATTCGTCGGCCAACAAGTGCGTCAAATTTGTTTACGGAGGCTGCGGTGGCAATGAAAATCGTTTCGTTAACAAAGAGATTTGCGAAGAAAAGTGCTTGCAATAAACTAATTAAGGCTAAATTGGAAATAAAGCTGCCTTTGTGAAGAAAATTCTACATCAAAATGCGTTATTTTAGTTATTTATATTGAAAGTAAATGGATTTCAGTTATTTAAACCTGGATACATTATATAATCTCACTTTCAAAACCAATTTCTAGTTGTAATAAGCTTGTAATTTTAATTTCTGGCTTATTTAGATCGATTTTTTAAGGCTTTTCGGTTACAGGCTTAAAAATCTCAATTTAAACCATTTGCTATAAATAACGCGACACTATTGTGTTCCGGTTTCAGTTTACATTTAACTTTTTCAGTTGAAAGTTCTATAAAATATATATTTTTTAGAATGAAACTTTTCATTTGCCTGGCAGTGTTTACTGCCCTTGTGACCATGTCCTTGGCTTTGAAAAATGGTGTGTGTTAATTCGTTATTAACTCCTTAAATAATCCTTTCCTAAAATAAACTTATTTTATAAAACTAATATAGAAATTTGTGGCCAACAACATTCCAAAGATGGTGAAAATGGTATCCACTGTTTGGCATATATGCCCTTGTGGACCTATGATTCTGAAAATAATAAGTGCCTTGAATTCGTCTACGGAGGCTGTGCAGGAAACCAAAATCGATTTGGGTCACAAAAAGATTGTGAAGAAAAGTGTTTGGAATAAAATCCAATAAAAAGCAATAAATAAATTAAAACGTTTGCTTTGTTTTAAATAATATTCGTTAATTTATTTAAAGATCATATTACGTATAATTTTTCTTTATTCTTAATAAATAGAAATATAAATAAATGTATTAAATTAAATTAATAGAAATTAGTCACGGTCGCCACAACAAGATATTCGATTATTTTTAACGCCAAAAACTTGTTAAGAGAGAAAAGGAAACTAATATTTGATACTGATAAAGTTAGTTTTTCTGAAACTAGAAGGATGTGAATTATTTCAATCTCGTTCGGACCTGGACACAATTATATAATCCCACTTTCGGAATCATTTTCTAGTTTTAACAAGCTTGTAATTTTAATTTCTGGCCTATTAAACTCGAGGTTTCAAGCTTCAAGCATTAAAATATCAATTTAAACCGTTTGCTACCTCATTATGGCTTTAGTTTAAAGTTTTCTTTGCCAGTTAGAAGTTCTAAAAAAATCTATATATTTTTTCGAATGAAGCTTATCATTTTCGTGGCAGTGTTTACTGCTCTTGTGGCCACTTCCTTGGCTTTGAAAAATGGTGTGTGCTCATTTAATAAATAATAAATAATCCTCTCCTAAATTAAGTTTATTTTCTAAAAATAATATAGAAATCTGTGGCCTGCCACATTCCAAAGATGGTGAAAATGGTCTCCACTGTCTGGCATATATGCCCTCGTGGACCTATGATTCTGAACAAAATAAATGCATTAAATTTATCTACGGAGGCTGTGGAGGAAACCTAAATAGATTTATGTCACAAAACTTATGTGAAAGAATGTGTTTGGAATAAAATAAAACTTCACATTATATAATCCCATCTTCAAAACCAATTTCTACTGTTAATAAGCTCGTAATTGTAATTTTATTGCGGGGACAAGCTTAAAAATCTCAATTTTAAACTTTAGCTGCCATATTATGCCTTTAGTTTACATTTTACTTTGCTGGTTAAAAGTTCTATAAAAAAAAATATATATTTATTTAGAAGAAAGCATCTCATTTTCGGTGATGGTGGCTTTTGTGGCCAAGGAAGTGCCTTGTGCTAATTTGTTATTACCACCTTAAATAATCCTTGACTTGGGCTTTCTTTTATTTTTGTATTAAATTAAATTAGTAAAAGAATCATAAATAACACTTCCATCTCCCTTTCCACTTGTGGAAAATACAGATATACATATATCCTTTTCAACAGAGAAGACAATGCCTCTGTGAATGATTAGACACTGGTCGCCCATTGGGAGCACGTGTCCGCCATATCAATGATGGGCTGGGCATCATTAGCTGGGATCGGGGATTGGACGGAAAAGAAGAAAAAAAAAAAGAACAGAGGGAGCGGGTGCAGACACTGCTCTCTTAATGTTTCCGCTGGCGCACACGACATCCGCTGACCGGAAGTGCGCCAATGGAATTTAAACGTTTTCCATCCAAAACATTAAGTCGAACGCCTTCCGTTGCGCACGCCTGTTCAATAACCCGTGAGTCGGTAGAAAATCTCTTCGAAATGGGAGAAAGAAAATCAAGAGATGAGCACCGCAGGAGTCAATAGAAAAAAGAAAAGGACACTTGGAGAAATAATTTCTTTAAGAAAATGAAAGGAAAACATTCTAGATTTTGAAGTTTATGAAATTTTAAGAGAGGGTTTTTAGGAGAATATGTATATATTTTTTATTATATGCTAAAGAAAATAACTAGAAATATATATAAAATATTTTGTCATATTTTTTAACCCCATTTTCCCTCAGTGAAAGCCTTGAAAAGCATTGCAAGGGATCTCTGTACTCATCTAATGTCATTACTGCTCTCATTGCGGTCATTGTCTGGTCCCCCGATTCTCCTCCCCCTAAAATTATCCTCGCAATCAAGAGCTAATTTAGTCATCGTCACCAAACGAGAAATATATATATAAAAATATATTTCTATAAGTAAGAAAAATCAAGGGAGCTAAACCGAGAGAGACAACCAGAGTGGCACTGCCCACTTAGGGGTGGCATTTTGTCACAATCTCTCGGATTTGTGTAAATATTTGCTCTTGGAAATTCACAGCCAGGGGTTGCTTCTTGCTTCTCCTTTTATTTTATTTCATTTTCCTGCCAGTTGTTGATGACAAAATGCGACACTTGCCATAAATTTTATTGTTTGTTTGTCTAATTCCTTTTTGTAAGTGGAAGCTTAATGACACGCAGGCAATTAGCAGATCGTTTGGGTTTATAATCGCTGGGACCAAAACACCCCCCCTAAGGATAGCAAAACAGGGCCCTGACATGGATATTCCCAGCAGTAGTTCTAGTAATTGGCTTATGAACTTGGATATTTTACTTAGCAGTTAATATTTATTCATATATTTTATGTATATTTTGGGAAAAGGGAATTATTTCTGGAATATAACTAATTTATTATAATTTATTAAGACAAGAATTCAGAGGGGTTTTCTTTCTCATTCATTTTTTAGGAAAGTAATATTCAGAAAACTTTGGTTTTTAATTAGAAATAATGAAAATACTTTCTGGTTTTATTTTGTTTAATAAATATATTTTTATATATATAGAATATAGAACTATTTTAAAGCTTAAATATTCCAAGAAAAGCTTTTTTATAAATTTAATTATATATATATTTTAAAAATAACCCATATTTTACTTTACATTCTCAGCCAAATCAAGCAGAATCTTAGTCACCACAATCTTAAAACCAAATCCCTTGACATTATATATCTCATTTAAGCTTTATTCCTGCCTCATAAGATATGCCTTCATTTCGAATTCATAGAGATTATTAACTCTGCTATTCCATTTGCTACTGTGATTTGAAATTCAAAAAAAAAAAAGAAAAAAAAGAAGTCCTGGCCACAAGGCCATAAAAAAGTGCCAGCTACTTGGAAATTAAATTGGGCGTAAACGAGGGTGTTTTGTTTTGTGTCGTTTGTCGTTCCAAACACAAGACCATATGCCGCCACTACAGAACAACCAACCATCCACGGAGGACGCTCTTTTTTAAGGATTTATATATATACATATATATTCCAGTGGGCGGTCTCATCATCGTCAGCCGGCAAAGAGGCCATGGGAGGGCGAGGATAAAGAGACCAAGGGCTCACATGTCAACGCGCCGGGACAACACACACATTACACCACAATAATATACAAAAAATAGACCGGCAATCCGGCAGAGACATAATGGCAGGGAATCGGAATCGCAATCGGAATAGGAATCAGGTCCAAGGAGCCATGGACATCCCACTGGGCACCGGGGCACGCGTTCGCTTTCAGCTGAATCATGGCCCTTGGAAGCCCTGCTGTTTGCTGTTGTAACGGTTGACCAAATCAATTGCAAATTTCAAGCACTCAGAATTTCATGTATGTTTGTGTGACAAACCCAACCCTCTTTTGAGATATTGTTATTCAAATTCCCCCAGAACGGATGTCCTTGGAAGCATCTTGATCTGAACTGAAGCGTTTCATCGCAAGCATTTATCATCGCATTAGTCAGGCAGTCACAAAATCATAGAGATTTGAGTACTCCAAATATTTTAATCTTCTCTGGACCTTGACACATTGTCTTGTCTGAGTTTTGAAACCAATTTCGAGGTTTACCAAATTTTTAATATTTATTTTCTAACCCAAGAGGTTAGTTAAGCTTTGATAAGCTTTGAAATTGAAAAACAATCCCTTTGCTATAAATTACATGAGAGTGCCTTGTTTTGGCTTTAGTTTTGATTTTACTTTGCTTGCTAAAGGTTCTAAAAATAATATATATTCTTTAGAATGAAGTTTCTAATTTTCCTGGCAGTTTTTATTGCTTTTGTGGCCTCGTCCTGGGCCTTGAAAAATGGTGTGTTCTCTACAGAATCCTTGACTAAAGATAGTTAAATTAAATAAATAAATATTTTAGAAATCTGTGGTCAAACACATTCCCTAAATGGTAATGGTATAATCGCCTGTGAAGCCCTTTTCCCCTCATGGACCTATAATTCCGAGAATAAGGAGTGCCTCAAATTCATCTACGGAGGCTGCGGAGGAAACGACAATCGTTTTGGCTCCAAAGAAGATTGTGAAGAAAAGTGTTTGGAATAAAATGGAATAACAAGCTATAAATAAATAAAAGCGTTTCTTTTCTATTTACATAATATAACTTATTTAATATTTGATATATATATTCTCTCTGTGAGATATTCTTATTCAATTTCCCCTTAGAATTGGCTCTTTCCGAGCACCTTGATCTCAACTGAAGCGCATCATCACAATAAGGCGTATATACCCTATTTTTCCCCTTCATCTTTCTACATATTTCATGCCAAAATAAATAAATAATTATTGAGCACTAAATTCGCACTTGTCTGGGGTCGCCAGAGTGACGCAAGAGGAGCGGCTCCTCCAGAGGAACGAGTTTCCAGTTTCGAGGCCAAAATTATACGAATTATGCAACGAAACCCAAAGGCAATCAAGTGAAGTTTTATATTTAAAGGTCGATACTTAAAATGTGAAGAGCAAAAAAAAGAGGCAAAAAAAACATAAAGCAGGGAATATTTTATTGTAAAAACATCAAATTTTTAAGAGTTGTGGAAGGAGAAATAATTAAAAATATATATATTTTTTGTTTAAAAATTAAAACGAAGTCAATCAAAAAATACCTTTAAAGATATTTATTGGAAATAAAGTGTATTAATTTTAGTTATAATATTTTCTCAACTAATTTAGCAAAGCTTCTCTTAATAAATATAGTTTTAAATTAATCTTTATAAAACCCCTTACAAATACATACCTTCACCCGAATAATTAACCAAAGCTTTTCTCAAAAATCAAATCCCAAAACCCCATCATAAATAACATTTTCTGAGTCTCCCAACAACTAAAACCCATAATCATTCGCTGGAATAACTTTTGCAGTTCAAAAATGTTAATTGAATACCCGTCGGCGGGCCCCAAAAAATCTCCCTGCTCCCTGCTACACTCTCCTCTACATACAGATACATATTCTGATTCAGATACAGATACTTTATGCGCAAATAACTAAATATGTATGCCCCGAAAATACCTGAACATAAGCAGCACCCACTTATGTACACACCGGTAATCAGGTGGGTGTGTGTGTGTGAGAGCGAAATGCTTGAATAATAAATTAAGCAAATATTTTAATATTCATCATGCAATTAAAATAAGCTGCCTTCGCGCATTTTCCCCCACCCGACACCGCCCCTTCACTGGGGATAACTTTTCGGGCGGCTGCCTTAATATAATAAGCATTATGCGGGGGAGTAGGGAGTGGGGGAAAAGCCAGAAAAGTTTGCCAGTTTCGTGGAAAAAATATACGTTTTGCGGAAATTAAGTTTGACTTGTGTGTGTGTGTGTGTGGGCCAAAAGGCTGTAGGGCCCAGAGAGCTAAGCTAAGGCTGTGTAGGTGTTGATTGCTCGAGTTTAATTTGTTAGAATTGCGTAAAGCATTAAAATGTTTGCCCGACTAATTACACCCCACAAAAAGGGAGGAAAAATGGTTAAAGGAAAGGAAAGACTTCCATGTGCATGTCACGCTTTTGGGGGAGAAAAACTTTATCCTTTTGCTAAATGCAATCTGCGAAAAGTGCGAAAATTTTAAGAAAAACTTTTGCCGCAAAACTCAAGGTGGAGACCAAGACTTGAAGATTCCAAGATTGACATTGACTGACTCGCACATTTCTTTCTCTCCAGACGAGATTCTGGGAGGCTGCCTAGAGGAAAAGTTATGTACTAACTAACGAGCTCAACGACAACACTCGAGCTTGTGAATGTCTTAATTAGAGAGAGTGAGGAATGAAGGGGACGAGAGGGGGCGGGGACAGGACGGGGCGGAGAAGGGGTCTATGAGTATAGCAATTAAGGCGGCGACAGTCGAGTGGGCGTGGGACATCACAACGCCTCTGGTTCTCAGTCCCTGAAACAGACGGAAAATAAATGTTTAAAATGTTTAAAAACAATTTCATATATTTATATATTTTTTAATTTTCTTATTTATTTATTTTTATTAAAAATAAATGAAAAAAATTTTAAAAATAAATTCATATATTTATATAAATTTTTTTATTTTTAATTTATTTATTTTTATTATTTATTTCAATAAAAATAAATGAAATATTATTATTAAATATTTTATAAAAATTTATAGGTAAATAAATAATTAAAAATGCATAAGTAAATAAGTTAATAAATATGTATAAATAATTGAATTAATAAAAATTTCTAAATAAATAAATGAATAAATTTATAAAAATAAATTCATTTATATATTTATATTTTTACATTTATTTTTATTTATTTTTATTTGTTCTTACATTTTTATTTATTTATTTACTAAAACATTTTTAATAAATTTTAAATTATAATATTTAATTTAAATTTTTTAATTTTTAACATTGTACCTATTAAAAATTTATAAAAAAGGTTAAATAAGAAATTCTTTGTCTAAGGATAACTCAAGGCACTTTTGACTAACACTTTAAAAATGAATTCTAAACCTAAACCTTTCTTTAAAAACTTGAATTGAATTCTTATTGTATTGTGTTTTGTATATCAATTTTTTTATATCAATAAAATTTAAAATATTTTCTTAAATATTAAACTTTCCTGATTCCTAATTCCCCCCACTTTTCCCAGTGCTGCGAATGTCGCCTCTAGCAATCATCACATTTTTGCCAGTCCCCAAAAACCCAAGCGAAAGAGAACCCCTTTGCCAGCGGGAAAGGGATGGAACTGCAGAGGGAGAAAGTGGGCTATAGAAGTGAAACAGAGATAAGAGATAGAGATAGATAGAGATAGAAAGAGATGGTGCCCTATACGAGAACGCCCAGCAGCCCCCAAGCTGTAGAGTCTCCTCGGGTCCGAGGCATCTCTATCTGTTGGATGTGCACATGCAAAATTTAATTACGACCAAAGGATGAGTGCTTAATTATACGCAAACATTTAAGTTTACTGCTTTTTTCGCAACTAGAGAAGAGACGGGTATAGAGGGGGGGTTCGTCTGCGACCCAGTGTTTGCCTTCGTTGTTGTTGTTTGAGTTTTCTCATCTCGTTTTTGCCGCTTGGACTTTTGCTTTTTTGGCTCCGAGCTTAATTAGGGGCCAGAAGCTACTATATGTGGATGGGGAAAACGTTGGGCTTTCACTTAAAAACTAGGAGAGCGAAGGGAAATGGCTTTAAAAATATTTATAGAATTAAATAAAGAAAGGAAATAGCTTTAAATATATTTGTAAAATAAAATAAATTTTTACAAAATAGATTTTTGATAGATAAATAAATAGATAAATAGAAAAATAAAAAAATACATATTAAAAATAGTTTAAAATATTAAAAAAAAAAAATTACTACAAAATATAACCGACTATAAATGGAGTTAATCCCACAAAAAGTGCAATTATTCTTAGTTTTAAGTATTAAAAAATTCCATTAAACATTAAAAAAAATTGAATTAACATCAAAATTAAACAAAATATCTCATCTCAACCATTAACAAATTTTTTTAACATTTTATTATGGTGAAAAAAAGAATTTAACTCATATAGCTTCTAATAAAAAAGTAAAAAATACAAAAACTAAGCAACTTTGGCATTAAAAATTCCATTTCAAGCGGCCAAAAACGCTTTGCATTCTCCAACTACCGACAAAGAAAAAAAAGAATCAAAAACGAGACCTGTGAAAGCGAGAAAACCTCGGAAAAATCACAGCAAATTGTGGGTGGCCAAGAGCTTAGGAAAACGTTGAGGGGGAAAAATGGGAGGACTGAGACTGGGGAAATTTTGGATTTCGAAATAAAAAGTGAAACGCGAGGAGAATTAAAAGCGACAGCAGCCGCGACGTTTGTGGTCCTGTGGTCGCCATTCGCGAGGTCCTTGTGTCGCGTTTTTCCCTCCCCCTTGCCCCTCCCCGAATTTCCCAACTCGATTAGCATTTTCAGTAAAGCCTGAGCTTTTGGGTGTTATGACCACAGCAACCCCCACTTTCCTAAAAAATGATTAAATTTTAGACACATTTCCCGAGATGGCCGCGAGCCTAATGTAAATTTGAACAAATGGAAATTGCATCTTTTTTTTGGCTCGCGTTGATTAAGCCTCAATTATTTCTAATAAAAAATAACAGTCTAGAACATAATATTCCATAATTTTATTAATGGGGATTATATACATATAGGCGAGAGTCATAGGAATTTATTAATTTCCACGAAATGTTGTTGGGCTCACTTATCAATTAAAATTTTTAAATTGCATTAAATGCTTTTTATTGGTCGCGGAAAGGGGTGTATGTGTGTGTTTTTTTACACTCTCATTTGCCTTGACATGCGACTAATATTTCATTCAATTAAAAAAACGCTCACAAAAATGACAACTGGGTGTTGATTATTCCCTTTTCCCTCTTGTCTGTATACAAAATATTTAGGTTTATTAATAATAATGCAATTACGCATAAAAATGTTTTAATTTATTTCAATTAAGCGTTAATTAAGACCCCGTTTGTTGTTGTTTTTTCTTTGTGTTTGCTGTTTGTTTATATATTTTTTTTCCATTCGAATTTGTATTCCGTTTAATGTGCGCGTGGAAGCGAAAATGCAAAGCAGTTGGTGTCAGTGTGAATACAGTGCAGTGACAGCTAAGCGAGGGTATATTGAGCAGTTTGTTTATTACAATAATTCAAAAAATTTCAAAGAAATCTATGGAGTTTATGAAAGAATTGTATCACCAAATTTGGTAACTGTAGCTCTTATAGACTCCGAACTCTAAGATTTTATATACAAAATATTGTAAATTTAAATGTATCGAATTTTCGAATATTGAATTTATCAATAAAATATCGATATTATTGTAAATAATTGCAAAACAATTTTCTGAAATATGTTAAACTTGGATATATTGGAACAACATCACATTTTACTTTAGAATGTTAAAGGAGATATCCGAGAAATGGGTCTAAAATTTGTAATTATAAAAAAAGTTTGAATGTATCGTTTTAATCGGTAAAGAAGACCAATAAGTTAAATAAATTAATCTAACAAAAATAAATTTATACATAAATTATAATCCTTTTCGATTTATATTGATTATAAAAATTTATATTGATATAAAAAAAAATTCGATATACCACAAAGTTAAAATATCGATTTATTTTTGTATATATCGATTTTTCCGATTTTTTATTATATTTAATGTCATTCATAATGTCATTTTTATACTCAATAAATTCCATATTAAACCTATATATCTTTATATATTTTCTTAAATATTAAAAATTTATTTAAATGAAATTTTCTTTTTATTTCCAGCAACTGCGGCTTTCGTCCCGTTCTCAGCGAGCAGAGCGCCGTGGCAGCTGCGGCTGCAGCAGCAGCAGCCCAGCGCAGCGCCAACCATCCGCCGCTCTTCCTGCCGCCACACCTGGCCGCCCAATTCAGCCATCAGCCGCTATTTCCAGGCCTCAAAGGTGGGTGCCATCAATCAATCAAACTGAAATCAATCACCAAAATCAAACCAAATCACTTTCATCTAATCAAATTATATTCTAAGGCAAGGCAGCAGCTGCAGCCAAACGAAATCAAATCAATTTTGTATCTTTATTATTTATTTAAAATGTAAAAGTCATAAATATTGTGTACACTGATTAACTAATAAGTGAAGAATATTTTCTTGAGGACACAATTAATTAATCTAAATCAGAATTTTTAATTTCTTAAATTGATTTAAAGTCAACATCAAAATTGGACTTTATGTTGTAAAAAATAAATATTTAATATACATTTTTTAATGATTTTATATTCTATACTTTCCAGGTGTTTCGCCCTTTCAGAGCCTTTGCTCTTGCTGCTCCTTGAAGCCACCGCCGCCCCACAGCTCCTCCTCCTCCTCGTCGGTGGTGGCCCCGCTGAGCATACCGGTGAGCAGCAGCTCGGCAGCCAGTTCGCCGGAATCTCCCAAGTCCTCCGGCCAGAATTCCGGCCATGATCCGCGCTCCAATTCGGTGGCCGAACTGCGCCGGAAGGCGCAGGAGCATTCCGCTGCACTGCTCCAATCGCTGCATGCAGCGGCTGCCGCGGGCTTGGCCTTTCCGGGACTCCATCTGCCGCCGCTCTCCTTTGCCCATCATCATCCGGCCCTGGGCCAGCATGGGGTTAATCACAACAACAACAACAATACGCTAAGGATGAAGCATGAAGCTCAAGACATGACAATGAACGGTCTGGGGCCAGGTTCTGGAGGAGTTTCCATGTCCAGCGGTAGCTCATCGGCGGCCCTGTTGGACCTGGCCGAATCGGCGGTGGCATATCAGCAGCAGCAGCAGCAGTTGCAGCTGCAGCAACAGCAGCAACAGCAACATGCCACACTCTCGCCACCCACCACGCCCACCCAGCAGGCTTCGGGAGGCGTGGCGGGAGCGGAGGACTCGCCAGGAGCAGCAGCAGGTTCAGCCAGTGCCTTGAATGGCAATGCGGCGGGGGGAGTGACAACCAAAAGTGAATCATTTTAATTCGTGCAATTACAATTAAAAGGGTGTCTTAGTTTGGTATTTAATTTCACAGATTTTTTATACATAAAAATATAAATTTAGATTTATGCTTGTTAATTAAATAAATTAATAAAGAAAACGAGGAAAACCTTCTTTTCAATGAGTTTTCTTTGGGTAAAATAAATTTTTGTAGCTCTTTATAAAGCTGTTTTTATTTTAAAAACTAAATTTGTATGAGTAATAGCTTACTTTTTTCTTAATAATTTATAAATATTTTCAAAAAAGATAGCCCCAAAAATCTGTGAAAATAAATATTCACAAAAAGCCTGTAAAAAACACATTTAAAACTTAAATAATTAGCCTATGTCTAAGTTTAATTTTAAGTAAAATATTACCATAAAAATGCAATAAAAAATAAGAAAACATAGAAAAAAGACAGCACTTTAAACATTATAATTGTATTAGAAATATAGTAAGTGAGAGAATAACGGCATAGATAACCCCTGATCTAAATGAACTTAATCAGCAAAAGGCAGCCGCAGACGATTCAAATAATTAAACAAAAAATATCAATTAACACTCGTATGCATATGAACAATATATACAAAAAAATCTAATAACAAATATATATACATATAATAAAAATAATAAACACACAATATATATATAGAGATAGCTAACAAATATATATATATAAATATATAGCCTAGCCTAATCACACACTGAATCAGACACTAATAATTACAATAAGCGCCACAACCAATATTAATTAAAATTAAACGAGTTAATAAATAAAAACAATAAAGATGATCACATTAGAATAACAAAAACCAACTTGGTATTTTATTTATAACAAAGTAAATTTTGTATTATTTTTTAAATTAATTTTTTAATTTTAGTTTTTTATAGTTTTTGATTATTTTGTATTTATTTTACAATTTGCAGGCCTGCTCGCATGCCTTCTTGGTGTCGAATTTATTGGAGTTTCCATGGCAACCTGAATAAAAGAAATCAACGCACTCGTTGGTGTCCCGTCTGTAGGTAAATTTCTGGATCCGGCCACGGCATACTCCCATACTTCCAAACTCCTCACCACAGATGGCTAAAATAAATCAAAAATAAATAAGTAAAAATCAGACACAAAAAACATTAAAAAAAATTGAAATTACATCATTACAAATTTTGATTTTGATAAAAAATTGAATTTGCACAGAACAGTTTTCCGCTTTAAAATTAATGCTCTTTTGGCCGAGTTATGATATTTTTAATATAAAAAATCAGATTTTATAATACAAAATAATATTTTTCTAAGTCAAGGAATCATTTCCGACCCCATAAACCATATATATTCTTGATCAGCATCAACATGCGAATCTTTCTAGACATGTCCGGAGGAAATCGATTTTTTGGCCATTTTTGCTAAATTTGATAAAAATTAGCAACAATGGACAAAAATTTTGATTTCTTAAAATTTTAAATTTGGTATGCAGTTTTTTTAAATTAATAAAAACCAACACAAAACTGCTTTCCGAATCGAAATTAATGCATTTTTGGCTTAGTTATGATATATTTTAATTGTTACCTGCAAGGGTATACAAACTTTGGCTGGCCAAAGTTAGCTTTCTTTCTTGTTTTATATATAAATTTACTTAGTAAGCAAAAATTTAATATTATAATTTTAACAAATCTCCAAGCTCCTTTATTCATTAATTTATATTTTTTTATTTATAATAAGACACTTTTATATATAGATTTTCCCCAATACTCACGACTCTTGAGCTCTGCCAAAGCAGCGCCCATCAGGCAGCAGAGAAGAGCAAAGACAGCAAAGTATTTCATATTGAATTTTTATGTTTATGTATTGTCTATATATTGATTTTATATTGATTTTATTAAGAGACCTCTGGCACAACGACTGAGTGACCGTTTGACCGAAACAAAACTGAGCCCCGATCGCAGATGCTTCGAGCGTTTTATAGGCCCAAAACCGGATCCCTTATCAGCGCCAAAGATGAGGGTCAAAAGCGCGATTTCTGTATGAGTTATATATGTATATGTATATTTTTTAAATATTTTTTTGTCGTATTTTGACCAGTGACAACAACAACAAACCTTGGGGAACTATAAAGAAGTTTATTTTGTGTTTATTTCGCAATTTCAATGCTTGAAATTTTTGTTTAAAAAACAAGCCGGTTGTTTGTTTTTTGTTTAGATTACCAAATTGTTTTTATTTGTGAGAAGGTTTTTCCCGCTTAGTTCAGTCCTTGCAGGCCTTTTCGCACTCAATTTGGGAGGAGAACTGATTGGAATTTCCCCCACAGCCGCCGTAAATGAACTCGGTGCAGGCATTCCGTCTGGCATCATAGGTCCAGGCCGGCATAAAGGCCATGCAGGAAGCCGTGTCCTGTTCCATGCCCGCCATTGCAGGCCTTTGGCTGCACATCTCTGGGGGAAGAGGTTTATATATAAGGATATAGATGCCTGTCTAGGATAGATTCTGTATCCCTAAAAATCGCTTACTTACCCGGCTTGGCTGTCACTCGGCTGGCGGAGAGTGTCAGCAGCAAGGCAATGGCCGCAGCGATTCCCAGATATTTCATTTTTCTTTAGCAAAGTCCAGTGGAACTCTGTGAGTCGGCCCTTGGCCACATCATCACTTTATAGGGGAATACATATAGATGTCCAGATGGACACTATCTTATCGGGAAGTGGTCACTGGAGTATGACGTCTTGCAGAGAAGGAAGAAAGTTGGCTGAGTTGATAAGGAGAGAGCATGTGACCCTAAGCTCAGCTTGAGGAATAAAAAAATTAAAAAATATAGAAAAATATAGAAAAATGTGGAAATAAATACTAGACAAAAATTGCTACCATAAAGTTTTGCTTTCATTTCTTTTTATGACATTCTCAGACAGCTGTACTTGGACTTTATATATAAAATGAATTTCTTTCTTTATATAGTAGATTATTTTTATGGTTTTCTAAATATAAATAATCTATAAAAACTACTAGAGTAATAAAAAATAATTAGGAGCAAACATAAGCTAAGGAATATATTTGTTTTTCGGATTAAAAATAAGTATTTGAAATGTTTAAATTATGTCCACCTAAAAGAATGCCAAAAGGTCAATAAAATTATATATATTATATATATATATTGTGATTAAACTGAACAAAAAATCTTGGAATATTTATTGAGACAGGAAGTAGTTAATTTTTAAAACAATTTTTAAGGATGTATTATTTGTTTTCAATTTTACTTTTAGTTATATTATATAATATTATTTTAAATTATTTTCTGGTGATATTAATTTTAGAATAGTAAATCAAACACACAATAAATAAGATCTATAATTTACTTTTTTATATTTTTTTTTTCATATTTATATTTTTTATTTTTCTTAAATTTTCTTTTATTCCAAACACAGTTTTTCACAATTTTTCTTAGAGTCAAACCGATTGTCATTACCCCCACAGCCGCCGTAGATAAATTTGATGCACTCTCTATTATTGGAATCATATGTCCAGCTGGGTATATAGGCTTCACAAGAGATTCTACCATCGCCATTACGGGAATGAGGAAGACCACAGATTTCTAGAAATTACAACATTTATACAAAAATATAAAAATAAATTATTAAATTAAAAACAAACGATTTTTCAAAGCCCAAGAACTGGCCACAAGAGCAGCAACTAAAGTCAGAAAAATCAGCAGCTTCATTGCGAATTGTAATTTATAGAACTTTCAGCTGACAAAGTCAAAACTAAACTGAGGCTAGAGTTTATAATGGATGAATTTCTGAGCTTATCGTTGAGACCTTGCTGTTGTTTTGAATAGTAAATCGATTGTAAATATGACTGGGAAATCTCCACAAAAAAAATCGCAACGATTTGTGTAAATATTTGCCGGCAAATATGGCTATTTATTTACCTTTTGCCTGCTTTGAGTTCCCAGAACTCGTACTTACTTTATGGCGATGCCAAGGGAATCCCCTTGTTATAATAATTATGAAGATTATCAGATGGCAGAAACAATGGGCACACGACCAAAACAAAGTGTTGAAAATGTATTTCGATTTCATTAATGATATTGAAAGGGAAACAACCCGCACTAATTACTCAAAGCATGACACAATTGCTTTACAAAATACACATTTCACTTGCTTTATTTATGAGTCACAAAAAGCTTCATGGGGGTTTTGTTGATTGTATTTAAAAATATTACATTCTCTGGATTTTAATACTCTCTCCACGTTATATATAATTGGAAATAGCTCACAAATTAATTAATTACAACCTGCTAAAACCATAAATTAAATTTGAGCACTAAATTCTAATAAAATTCTAGTTTTTAGGTTTGAAAAATAATTGTTTTAGTTTTTAATTTGTATTTTAAGCAGTAAAAAGATGATGGAAGATGGTGGTAAAACTGTTATTTCAGTTATAAAAATTTTTAAAAAATAATCTAAGATTCATTTGCTGAGATTGTTTGTTAGGTTTGAAAAATAATTGTTCTACATTTTAATTTGCATTTTAAGCAGCAAAAAGTTGATTCAATTTAAAAAAAAAACTGTTATTTCAGTTCAAAAAAAAAAAAAAGATAAAATACATCTTATTTTCTTAAAGTTATATTTTGGTGTGACAAATATTTTTTATAGATTTTAATTTGCATTTTAAGCAGTAAAAATATGTCTGTAAAACTGTTTTTTCAATTCAAAAAATTAATACAAATAAACCAAGGACTCATTTGATTTGCTGAGAGTATTTTATTTATCGAATATTATATTTCAAAGAGTTTCACAAATATATCCAAGATTGTTTGAATTATTCCTTGCACTTGGCCTCGCATTCCTCCAAGGTCGCGAAACTGTTGGCATTGCCACCGCAGCCGCCAAAGACGAAGCTCTTGCAGGAATTACTATCGGCATGATAGCTGTGTTTTGGAATAAAAGCAGCACACTTAATAAGACCATTTCCATCGATAGCAGGTGGCAGACCACAGACAGCTATTAGAGTTTAAAAAATATTATTAGAATATAATTTAATGAAATTTATTCTTTAATTTCTACTCACGATCCTTGAGGCCAAAGGCAACTCCCAGGAGAGCAAACAACACCACACAGACAACAGCAATGAACTTCATTTTGATTTGTATTATTTTTTTTTTTAACACTATAGATTTTCCTACAGCTGCCGTGGAACGACTAATGGCGATCTGAGAATTAACACTGGATTATATACGCCAACCTGCTGGTCTGCTCGGTTCGGGAACTACAAATCCCCCTCGTCTCTCCAGAGCTTATCTATGTTTTCATGAACCCACAGTTCATTAACGAGTGCTCGTGAAATTGGTAAATAAATAGAGGAGACGGTTGTCTGTTTGTTTACTCGAGACGAGCCATTAACAAACCTATATACTAAGCAGAATGTACTAAATTAAATCACTTTGGCTTGTTTTGGTAAATAAATTGGAGGTGGGATTTGCCGATTTTCCAGGAATTATTAATAAACACGACGATTTGTGAATTAAATTAAAAACAAGGCTTTCTAAAAAATATACTTAAATAAAGTTATTGATATATAGCAGTTATACATATATATAAAGGAAAAAATCGTTTCATTTGATTTATCGACAAAAAATATCGTTTTGAATATTGTATTAATAATTTCGCAGGTTTTAATATATTAAATTTGTTAATATTGAAAGATTTTAAATTAAAATTTTTTAATTCGAAAAGTTTCCCCATACGAACATTTAATTTGTTTGCTTTAAATTCGATATCTTTCGATATTTTCGAGCTTATATCGAATTTAAAGCTAAACATAACCAATATAAGCCCGAAAATATCCAAAGATATCGAATTTAAAGCAAGTCTCTTTGTCTCTTATTATTTAAAAAAAATATATATTTCTTGTTTATTTTAATATTTATTAAATAATTTTAAAAAGGTATTTTAAGTATGAACAATGTATAAATGTTTCTTACTTATTTCTAACAACTTAATTATATTAATTATTGTTTTTAAAAAACACAAAATGAAATTTTTATTAATTTTAAATAAACTCCAATAAGTCTTAACTACTTCTGTTTCAAATTTAAGTTATTCATAAAACATAAAAAAATATATTAATATAATTACAAATGTATCTCTCATTAGTATTATTATTTTTTTTTATTTAATAAAATAAACAACTTTTAAATGAGTTTTTCATAGTTTGAAATCACAAATAACCCCCCAGATTATACTCTTAAAAAAATAAATAAATTTAAGCCTTAGTGTCCGCTTCGGTGGTCGCCTCATCGGCCTGCTCGGTGGTGGTGTTGGTGGATTCCACCGATCTGCCCAGACAGGCCTGTTCGCACTGCTCCTTGGACTCGAAGTTGTTCTTGTTGCCGGCACAGCCGCCATAGACGAACTCCTCGCAGGATTGGGTATCCACATTGTAGGCATAGCGATAGAACAGGGCAAAACAACGACCCGTCTCCTTGGGCTGATGGCAGTCCTCCGACACGGTAAAGTCTCCATCCGATTTTGGTACCACCTGGGCCTGATCCTCTGGTGCCTTCTCCACCACCACATCCGATGGGGCTCCATAAGCAATGCCAGAGATTGCCGCCAGCAGCAGCATGGTGACCATAGTTAAGCCAAATTTGTAGCACATTTTGAATCCGTTGAGTGAGCAGCAGCGAATGATATCAGTCGTAGGTCGGAGCGCGGCTTAAATACTTCCGAATACCCACAGATTTACTCACGGGTTTTTACCCACTAATTTTGTGCCTGCCTCTTTTTGTGTACCTTATTTATCGGAGCGACGTTGCCGTGTTTGCCCAACTGATTCGGTAAATCACGGCTCTGTGACGGCTCTCTGACGTCTATATCACCATCATGATCACCTGGCACCGCCCAACCTTCGCTGCAGTTCAACGCACCTGTCAATCTATTCATCAGAAATGCCTCCAAAAAGGTCTATCAAAATCATATTCCAACTTGTTTCCGCCCTGAGCTCGAATGGATTTTAGAGAATCTCCTCACGTTTTTGGGTAAAGCATTTAATTGCTAGCCAAACTATTTAATTTGTTAATTAAAATGAGTTCCGCTTTAGCCTTAAAAAGTTTAAACATTGTTGGGTAGGTCAGTTTTTATATAATTTAAATAGATTTTCTAAATTTTAATAAGCTTTCCCTTAATTACCAGCTTGTTTGTTTGAATATTTAATCTAAAAATAAGCTAGTATTTATAACAGAGTTGCTAATTCAGCTAGTTAAGGTGGTAAACATTTAAACTAAACACTAAATAAATTTTAACAAGCAAAAATATTATTTATTTTATTACATATATATTAAAGAGTTCGTTTTTTAACATAAAAAATATAAAATATTTTTGTAAAAGCATTTTTGTTCACTTTTTGGGCAGGCAAGCCTCCTCGCAGGTCTGCCGGAATCCCCATCGATTGTCATTGCCTCGGCATCCGCCATATTTGAAGGTCTCACAGGATTTGGTGTCCTTGTTGTAATAGAATCTCTCCAGATTCATGCGGCAAGGACCTGTCTCCAAGGGTTGCAGGCACTTGGGATCTATAAATGAAGTTGAAACAATTTGAAAATAAAATTATACTAAAATAACTAGATTTTTTATGAATAATTAGCTTTGAAAGTTCAATTTTGATATTATTAATTTTTTTTATTATTATTATTGTTTATTTTTTATTTAAAATGATTATTTACCTGGCTGCAATCTCTGCGGCTTTATGGTGGTGGCTGCTATTGTGGGCTTATTTCCTCCTAGATTTCCTCCTGGCTGCACCTGGGCCACGGCTTTCGGTTTATTATTGTTATTATTATTATTGTTGTTAGGCGTGGCCTGAGTTAGTTGCATAAGACACAGCAATAAAAGTGCTGCGAGGCACAGAAACTGGGTCATTCGCGGTGACATTTAGCGTGTGTGAGGAACCAGATTAACACTGAGCGTGGCTGACTGTAAACTGAACTGTGGAGAATATGTTCTATATTCTATATTCCATTTTTCTATATTTTGTTTTTGATCTCTCTCTCTCTCTCTCTCTCTCTATCTCTGCCCATCCATGTGTGAGTTTACCAACTTAAATTGCGTATACGACACGTTGAGCGCGAGAATAATTAACTCAATCTAAGTACATATATATTCAAACCCATCAGATCAGACATAAAGAGAGACTCTCGAAAGATGCTCATACTGAGTGGGAATAATTAATTTCCAACCATGGTTTTTGTTTCTAAGAATATCTGGAATAATAGACTGAGACTAATAACTAAGAGCTTAACTAACTAAAGAATCCATGAAATAAATTTTTTATTAAATAATAAACCATACATTTTATTGTGAACAAGTATTTCGATTTTTTGTACATTTTGTTTCTTTAATATATATAATATTAAATATTTAATTTTTACACAAAACTTGTTCAAGGTAATTATTCCTGAAAAGTCTTAAAATCCCTTCTTAGTAAATTATTAGCAAGACAAGAATTATAACTTCGAACCAGAAATTTAAGTTGACAATTTTAGAAATTATCATTTACCTGGCAAATAATATTAAAATTATCTTTACAATTAGCTAATATGATGGTTTTATGTTCAAAAAGTATTGGGCACTCCGAATCGGGGTCGGATGGATTTGCGTTATACATGTGCAAATATCTTCTATAGGCGTTCTTATAGCGTACCCAGTACGATCGATTGGCCTCTTCTCCTAAAGCATGGAGTACAGTTAAGTCTATAGATTCTGGAAGTTGACCTCGCATCTGACGACAGGTTTTGGTAGCAGTTGCCCAATCTTGCTTAATATCTAAACTACAAAAATATGCTCGACCTATTTTCTGGCAATACCGTTTTATGCTATAAGTATCCTTTTCGGAAACTTTAACTTTGTCTGCTTTCGGGACATCCTTCATGGCCAGTACTTCCTGCAATTGGTTCTCCATTTTGGTGAGGGCAGCTAGCAAACTTCCTTCAAGTTTATCTTGAATTTCATTCAATTTATCCTGAACCTCTTTTAGTTGTGTTTCCATCTTGTCCTGGCGCCTATCCACTTGGTTGAGTATTGGTTGCAGTGCATTTAGGCAGAAACTATCGCATTCGCTAGGATTCGGTTCATCGATAAGGCAAACAAAGCCGGAACTGTGATCCTTTGCCAATGATCCTTTCCAAAGACACAGACACACAGCCAGTGTGCACAGCAAATAGGATCCTGACTTGAACATTTTGATATTGGTGACAGTGTCTACAACCGAAGAAAGTTTCTAATCAACTAATTTCAGAATCATTCGATGGCTTTCCAAGAAAGCTACGGATTTCGTGGTGATTAATAAGCACTGCTACACTCTATGTGCTGATTTGTATATTTCACTTTAAGTGCTGAAACATATGTTTATTTTAGCACATAAGCACATAATATAAATTTTATATTCCATGTTTACACAGTCATAAAATCCCTTTCTTAGTAAATTATTAACAACACAAGAATAATAACTTTGAACTCAAATTTTATTTGACAATTTTATAATGAAACTGCCTGGCAAATAACAGTATGATGCTCTGTACATGTGGCTAAAATGCTACTATATTGATAAAGTAAAGGACAGTTCGAGTTGGGGTCAAATGGATTAGCGTCATACTTATACATATATTTTCCATTGGGGATCTTATGGCCCTCCCAGTACGAACCAGTTTCCCCATCTTCTCCTAAAGCATTGAGTACTTCTCTGTCTATGGATCCTGGAAGATAACCTCCCATCTGACGACAGGTTTGCCCAATCTTGCTTATTTTCTAAACTACAAAACATTCTTGGACGTATCGTCTTGCAATTCTTGGTCACTTTATCTGTATCCTTTACCGAAACTTCAACTATGTCTACAATCGAAGAAAGTTTCTTATGAACTGATTCCAGAACCATTCGATGACACTTTATATGCTAAAATATAGTTATCATTTATAAAGCTGACTATACTTTATGTGCTGATATGTATAATGCACAAAAAGTGTCGTCAGCTTTATAAATATTTATTTATTATTATTATAAATATAAAATAATATTATATATAAAGGTAGCTATATGTCTAAGGTTTAATAATTGAAAAAGTGATAGCTTTTCTTGGAATATAAATTAAATTTAGAAAAACAAAACCCATAAATATAATTTCAAGAATCATAAATGCCTGCCAGACATTAGTAAATTTCAAGAAAAATGTAATTTCTCTAAGATTCTAAATAAATAAATTAACAAGACTCATAAAATAAAAAGAATAAAATGCCTAATATAGTATCAAAATCTTATCTGTATTAATACTTAATTAAAATATTAGTAAATAAAACTAAAATTACTCACATAAATTGCTATCCTGCATCAACTTTGCATAACAAATGCCACTGTCAGGGCCTTGGAAACAGATATGATTATTATTACTACGCAGGACTCTGTGTGTGTTTGGGGCTCTCATTAAAATTGCATTGTGTGTGTGCTGCTGCTGCTGGAAGGGATGGAATGGGGATAGATCTGTAATTAGAGAGTCACATTAGGACTGCAGGAGTCCAAGAAACGATGTCCAGGTGTCAGGCTCATGGTGCAAATTGAATTATCGCCCAGCGTTGATGATGTAACTTTAACGATGGTATGATTCCCGATGCCAAGGAACTTTGAGGGCACGACTATCATCCAAAGGGCTGTTCGCTATTAATTCATTAGCTCTGACCCACACACACACGCTTGAGAGGGTCGAATGTTTCGGGCTTGATTGAATGGCCAAAATGTGTTCGGTGGTGTGTCGCCGTGTTTTGCGGGGTGACAATTCAGTTAACTGTTTAATTTGCTTGAAATAATTGAGGCTCCAGACGTTAATTTTCCCTTCGCTCTTAAGCTGCATTTAATTATTACATTTTGGATGGACAAAGAGAATTGCAGTTGAGGAAAACTTAGTTGAAAATTGAGCTGTATTTTAAAGTAAGTTATGTATGAATGTATCCAAATATTGATATATCGGTACCGTAGCGATATTCAAAATTCAATAAATAAATTAGTATATTAAAGTTACTATTCTGCTCGAACCAAAATAATAGGAAAGAGAAACTGAAACTGAAATTAAAACTGAAATTGATATCGAAATCGAAATTGAAACATAAAATTGAAAGCGAAAATGAAATTGAAATTAAAACTGAAAATGAAATTAAAACTGAAACTGAAACTGAAATCTAAATTGAAACATAAAATTGAAAGCGAAACTGAAATTGAAAACGCACAGCTTCGTTGATCTTCAACTCTCACACACTCGCACTTGGTACTTGATTTTAAGTATTGGCAGAGCCCCGGCTTCGTTGTTTTTGTTGTCATTGATATGCGGAACATGTTTTTTGTTGTTGCCTTTTGGCAAGTGCTTTTTACGTCATCTCCGCCAGCGTTGTTTATTATGAGAGAGCGATTGCAGGGTATACTATAGCGACGAAAGGGAACTACTCTTTTTATGAGCAGCTTGAAACACTACCAAGGGATCTAAATTTTAAAAAATAAATAGACAAAAATAAAGTATCATAAGGAAAATGTAATAATCGTTTTAGAATATTTAAATATCGAAAAATATCGACATTTACATTAATATAACCTTATTATAAGATAAATAAAATATTGAAATGGTATTTATGTTTCTATTTTCCCGATTATATAGTTTCGTTATATAAAAAAATAGCTATTGATCAAATTTATATTGCAACAATAAAAAATCGAATTATATGTTTATCGACTTTCACTTGAAATATCGATACAGTAATGATAAATCGATTTTCTACCATTTTACCATATCTTAACTAATTAAAAAAAAATAATATATTTCTATTTAATAATTAATTTAAAATTTATAGTTTTAATTATTAATTTATAATTTAAATTATTAATTCTAATTTAATTAATATTAATAAAATATAAATGAACTATTAAATAGAAATATATTATTAATTGTAATTTCTACAAACTTCTTTATTATTAAAAAACTTTAAAAAAGTATCCTTTTATTAACTCTTAGAAAAACAAACTAATTTGATTAGCTAGTTAGGTAACCCGTTAGTTGTTATGACACTAGCTTTAAGCCACAAGGCTGCTAACTTGGTCAATGTTGAATATTGGCAGAAACAGAAAACATAAAACGAGTATTCAAGCATTCGAGCATTTGAAGGCATTTGTAAACACAGAAAGAGAGACAGGGCTCAGTGAGTTGTTAAGCCAAGAACGTGACGGTCGATTGATCGAACAGGTGTAGCAGCAGGTTAATGACTAACCATTGCCATTATGCCGGCGGCTATCAAGTGGCAGTGGTTCCTGCTCTTTAGCCTTCTTTTGGTGCTGCTGCTGCTGATCCCGCAGGAAACTGGGGCTGCCTCCAAGCGAGGTACTTGTGTGTCTCTAGAATTATCAGTAAATAATGAGTTTCATTTGCAGTAAAACTATGCCTTCAGCCCACAATCAGTGGGCGGTGCTTTGGCTATGTGGAGAGCTTCGCCTACAATCCCCTGAAGCGACATTGCGAGCCCTTCATCTACGGCGGATGTGGCGGCAACGATAACCGCTTCACCACCAAAGCCGAATGCGAGTTCAACTGTCGTGATATTTAAAAACAAATTTCAGTAAAGCCTAACTTGACTTAATTAAAGTAAAATCATTCCTTAAGACACTCCATATTCTCGTGAAATGAACAACAAAGTCTCCTCTCATTTTGTTTATATTTTGTATATTTTATATGTAAATATTTTCAATGCGTGGTCTCATTGGCCTTTGTCCGATTGCGTCGCTTCACGTGTCTCGCATTATTGCAGATCTTGTCACAGTCCTCGAGGGTCTGGAATTGCCTCTTGTTGCTGCAGCCAATATACCGACATTTCTGCGTCTCCGGATCGTAATATATATTCATTGTGCTGGGCATACAAATGCCATTGCTTGTGCTCGGCACCGACTGGCAGAGGTCACCTGAAAGCAATTTAAAATTAGAATTAACTTTCAGTTAATATCACATTAATTTCTAATTTGAAATTTGGAATTGTTCAAATGGAAATAAGTTTTCTTTTAAGATATTTTGGGGTCTTGAAGAAGAAAAATTTACACTAGCATTTCCACTTGTTACAATTCCTAAGTTAAGTAGTTTTTTTTAGAAATTTTCCCATTAATTTCCCTTTCAAAATTCATTTAATACTCACGAACTGTGGCCTCAACGGGCACCTGCTTCTCCTGGATCATGGCCAAAATCACACAAAGCAAAACCGTTATTCTCAGTTGACATTGGGCCGACATTTTGGTTAGAAATACTTTCTATACTTTCTTGAAGAATATACGGGCAAAATAGGAGTTGCTCAGAATCTTTGTAGATTTTTGAACCGTTGCTCAAGTTGGTCAGCTTTGTATTGCAGCTGTGCTCTTCTCCCTGATGATGTCGTCAATCTGGCTCAGGACAATCGCAAATGCGCAGCAGCCGCTCGTCGCCATTCAGTACACACACGGAATGTGTCCGATTTCACAGAGTCTAGTATATGGTTGATGATCGGCCGATCTGATGTCTGATGGCTTTTCTTAGTATTTCTTGATTGATTCTTTGAATTTTATGAGTTCTTTAGACCCGCCAAAGTTCAACGGCAGTGCAAGAGCCAAAAGTGATTCGGCGCAGAAGCTTCGATGTCGTTATGCAGATTAGAGAATGTCTTCCCTTCGCTTGGACTTTGTCTGTTGGCAGTTCTTGGAATTATATATATTTTAATATTTTTTGGGGGGCCGAAAATATGAAATGCAAAGAAATCGAGAAAAGCCAGAAAAGCGAGAAAAGCCAGGGAATTTGTTCACCGCGCACTTGGTAGCCACTGACTAAATGTTGTGTAGCAAACTCGACTCGAAGCCTCGAACAAAAGGAACTCTATATGTGTAATCAGGCCTCTGTCGGCGATAGCTCAGCTGCTGATTCGGATTTTGCAGAGAGAACTTAAACATCCACTGGGGGAAATATATACAAAATAATTACATTTATTCACTAATAATATAAGTATAAAAAAGCAGGTTTAAGAATGAAAAGTAACTCAGAAAATCAACTGAAAATCGGGAGAATGGTATACAAAAAAATCGTAAATAAAATATTTATAAATCAATTATGGTGTTTTAAAGTTTGATTTTAATGAATATATATCTTAATATTAATTTTTTTTAATATTTTTAAATTTAAGTTCAGTGTTCTACTGATAAGACTTCCAAACGACATCGACATCTCGACATAGTCTCTCTGTGATTTCGCCTGTGGAATCGATGATGATGATGAAGATGCTCCGGCTCGCTCTCCTTCGGCGAGATTCCGGCTAAATCTGGCGAGTGCCTGTTGCAGAAGGCCGCGGACAAAGGGAAGGGAGCTTGCATTGCGATTATAAGGCCATCGTGACGTATACGTAACGAACAGCAAATGCTCTCAAAAAAATAATATACATACATTTTATATACAAAAATAAACAAACAATAAGCTAATCTCATTCACAATATCTGGTTCAATGGCATTACAAATTCAGGTCTTAGGGCTTAGCCTTTTACTATATTTAAGTTATATTCAAGTTAATCACGTTAAAGAACTTTAAAATATCGAAAAATATCGAGATTAACGTGAATATATCCTTATAACCAAATTAATAACATATAAATTGTATTTATTTTTGCATTTTCTCCAATATATACCTTTATTTTATTAAATAGAATATCAATTTATTGAAACGATAAACAATATATTGATAGATATATCGACTTTCGCATTAAATATCGATTTTGTATTGATAAATCGATCTTCTACCATTCCTACCTACTCTTCCACAAAAGGAAATTAAGTAATGCTCCCTAATTAAGTCTTAAAGAATTTTCAAAATTTTTTTCAAGTATTGTTTTATCAAGTATTCAGGAAGAGGCGATCTTCAATAATGAAAAAGTTGTTAAAGTAATCAGTAAAGAGATTAAAAATCAATTTAAAATAAAATTGATTACAATCTATATGGATATATGGAATTATTAAGCATTTTATTAATTATTAATAAACTTCTTATATACCTATAACTTTAATAAATAATATTTAAATATAATTATCAACTCGACCAAAGATGATCTCATCTCGTTCGATCCTTCTCTGTAACTAACCTATAGGACTCTTTTCTTCATAGAGCACCCATTCCGATTATGGCACTTCAATGTTCAACTAAGTTAGTTTATAGTCCAGCACGTTTCGATAGTGCGACAAAAGAATAACAATTACGTCACAGGTCAACGGGGCGTATGATTGACATGGAAACCGAGATTAGGACGACGCTCCGACGCAATTTGTTTGCCGCCGACGCTGATCTCCCCATCAACTCGAGTCGCGTCGAGTCGAGTGTATATTAAAACCACTCACTCTAATCACTCATTCATTTATACATTTATTTTTTTTAAGCTTATTTATTATAATACGAGTGACCGTATTTCCGCTCGCCACGAATACAGGTTTGAACGCAGTCCTCCTGGCTACCGAAACTCTGGCCAGGAGTCAGGTGACAGGCTCCCACGGAATACTTCAGGCAATCGAGGGCGGCCGAGTCATAGTAGTAGCCCTCGATTTCGATGGTGCAAATGCCCTCGGAACGTGGCGGTGGCTTATAGCAATAATCTGTTAAGAAAATAGAATAAAAAGTATTATTGTTTTGTGTAAATATTACAAGGAAATAATATAATTAAAAATATTTTAAAAATCTCTGTAGATCTCTGTAGATTTATAAATTTACTTCAGTAAATCTCTAGCTAAAATATAAATGTAAATCCTAATTAATTACTACTTCTTTGGCACCTCAAAACCCCAGTCTCTCTACTCACCCGGCATGCTGCTGCGCAAGCTCCAAGCATCTGTGACTTGGTGTTGGTGCTGGAGCAGGATTAGTGACAATAGAACCACTAGCATAGCCGGCGGCGTTGAAAGCTTAGATCGTGGCATCTGGACGGGCGGCGGGCAACTGAGTGTGCAAAGTAATAACGAGACGAGGAGCGAGCTCAAACCCCATCGCAAGCTGGGAGAGTGAAGGCGATAAGGCATTCCATCGTCATGGGAGATGAATCAAAGTTGGTGATAACATAAGGAAATGCAATGATAAGCCCTTCTAATAAGTATATGTATATAATTATATAGTTTTATATGATATATATGGTTTGGGGGGTTTGAAAAAGCAACACCTTTAAATACAGTTTCATTAAATATTAAAGAAAAAAAAGAGAAACTATTTTATAAACAATAAAAAAGAAGCTGTAGCAATAAGGAAAAACAAATCTTAAAAGTGGCCATATAAAATAAAAAAGAAACAGAAAATTAGTGCAGGTAGATTGTAACTTTGTAGCTTTGTTGAATACTTTTTATACCCTTGCAGGGTATTATAATTTCAGTCAGAAGTTTGCAACGCATTGAAGGAGACCTTTCCGACCCTATAAAGTATATATATTCTTGATCAGCATCAACAGCCGAGTCGATCTAGCCATGTCCGTCTGTCCGTCTGTCCGTCTGTCCGTCTGTCCACCTGTCCGTTTCTACGCAAACTAGTCCCTCAGTTTTAAAGCTATCTAAATGAAACCTTCTTCTATATACTCTCACTGCTATATATGTCGGAACGGGCCGGATCGGACGACTTTATCATATAGCTGCCATACAAATGTTCGATAAATTTTTAGAAAAAAAATTATAACTTGGCTGTTTTTCAATATTTTTGCACAATTTTTTAGATATGGCCATTATATATTATTTCAGAATTTCGATAAAAATTTCATGAAAATCGGACGACTATATCTTATAGCTGCCATAGGAACGATCGGGAAATTAATAGGAAAAAAACTATAACTTCGATGTTTTTCAACGTTTTTTCATCTACTCCGGGATATAAGCTTATTTTATTATTCTAGAATTTTGGTATAAATTTCATAAAAATCGGACAACTATATCATATAGCTGCCATACAAACCGATCGGTAGATGTAGAGAAAATGTAAAGCTGGGAATGCAAAACTGTAACTGTCAAACTGTAAACATAATAATATAGGTAGAATGTAATGAAATAATATCTGCAAGGGTATACAAACTTTGGTGTGCCGAAGTTAGCTTCCTTTCTTGTTACTGTTTAATGTATATTTTTTTAATAAAATATTTGTCTAGCTACTTTACCGAAAATGTTTATAGCTTTTTTAGGTTTTTAAACCTTTTTAAAAAATTAAAATAATATAAACTAAGCAATTTATAAACCCTGAACTTCTTAAATTTATTTTAAAGAGTCTTTCAACAAAGAAAGCACCATTTAAACCATTAAAAAAACCTTTCTTTTTTAGAGTTTTACTTTTAATTATCCATTTTAATAAATAAAATTAAGGATCTAAGGTAGCTAGTTAATTCTAAAGCAACTCGTGTAGGTGCACATCCTTGCGAACGGCATTATTGAAGCCCTCCTTATAGCGATACCAAATGGGGCTCTTCACTATGGCATCCGTTTTTCCTTAAAAATAAACAAAATTATATAAAAATTGAAAATATAACAATTTATTTAAAAGGTTTACCTTCATCTTTATGAGTTGTAGAAGCTGATTTGTGAGTAACTCGACCAAAAAAGTCTTTGGTAAGCTGAAAAGAAACCAATAAAAAATCATTAAAAAATAAATGTAAGCTAAAAAACCTTTAGATAATATTAAATTAAGAAAATAAATGCACTTTAATAGGTAAAAACAGGTGGAAAAGAAAATAAATACTTGGCCAAATGGCCAGCAATAAAGTTTGCCTTCGCTTTCGCTTAAGATAAGCCATAAATGTTCGTTTGCGTTGATCCCCGGACATAACGACCCCAATGACAATACCGAAGCGCGGGAATCCCCTTATGGGTTATTAGCTTTTCCAGGATTTGGGCAACGCAAAAAAAGGACAACGCGAAAAAGGAATGTAATTTCTTTTAGGGGATGAGCATATGCGCATTATTTGCTGAGTGGAATTTTTTCAAGTTACCAACAAAATTTGCACATAAATTGCTCTGCTAAGTAAATGCAAGGCATGCAAATCCTGGCATTTCCTTTGTGGCTGCATCAAGGCTCACCTGCTGCTTGGGCGCTGCACTGCGCATATTAGCCGCCGATGAAATGGGTTTCGGCTTCAATGTCTGCAAATGATTGGGCAGCTGAGCGCCGGCTGTTGGTTTCTTCTTGGCAGCAGGCGCTGCAGTGGAAGGGTCTCCGCCTTTGGGGGCCGCCCGTCGTATCCGCTCCAAGTCCACTTCGCGAGCTATCAGCTGGCGACTGAAGTAGGGAAGCGTGAGACCTGGAAAGCCTGAGGGGAGAAACAAATTTAAAATATTTTGTTTTTTAATAAATATTTTAATATTTGGAAATACTGATACAAATAATTTTGAAATTATTTTTTCAGGATTTTTAAATTAAATTTTACATTATTTTATTATTTTAATAATTTATAATGAATGGGAGAAATAAATTAAAATTATATAACTCACTGGGATATGCACTAAGTGCATCCAAGTCCGGCTCCGTTTGAAACACATAATGACCTTCAATATTTTTTACCTGAACAAATGTCAGGCCGAGATCAACCATTACCTCGATGGTGTGCCGCAGGTCTTGTTGCTCCCTGAAAAATAAGAAAATTAAGAAAAAAAATTAAAAATCATCGAAAAATAACTTTAAAAAATATATATATCAAATAAGCCTTACTTTGGCGACAACAACTGCACGGCCACCGAGCGCAATTGCGGCGATAGAATCCTCTTGAGCAACGGCACCGTATCGAGCAGCAGGACCCTGCCCTGACCCACACCAAGCGCCGAGGTGGTGACACCTTTGCGCATGGCCTGAAAGATATTCCTTTGGTTGGTGCTCTTCTGTTGGAACTGAAAGGAGGAAGGCAGGCAGAGGGTAAACACTGGCGGAATCTATGCAGGAGTCTCATTAATCTTGTGATTGCATTTGAGGCACATAATGGACAAGTAATTACATGGCTTGATTCTGTTGATTATGCACGGGGCATGGGCATGTTTGCCCCAGCTAATGACGCCCTGCATAAGTCATGAGTTGCCCTCAAAGGAAGGCCTCGACAGGGCGATGAAAAGAAATGGCGTTTTCTCTACCAAACTCACCTCAAAGCCACGCGTGGGAAATGCAATTTTTGGCCAGGCCAAAGTTGCGAAAAGCAAATGCCAAACGACAAAGCCATACTGCAGATAGGGATACACACTGTAGTTCTGTTGTCGCCCAATCTGATGTTGCACTGTATCCGTGAAGCAGAACCATTGGAGAGCCTCGCACACGCCTGTAAAATTTGGATCTGGCATCTTTTGCTGCAAATAGTTCTCATAAACGCCTTGGGTGAGTCTGCACGAGGGGATTTTAGATGTTATTAATAGATTAACTTTGGGTAACTAAAGTTTATTACCTCTCGTAATCCCCACTGGAGTGTACCACATCCAAAACATTGCGCACTCGCGTTGTCACCGACATGTTGGTCATTGTGACCTGAACAGGCTCATCGGCATTTTGGCCACCTGTTTGTAGGGTTTTTCGAGGGCGTTTTATCTGTACAAAAAATAAGAGAAATTTAGAAAATCAAAATAATAAATTAAATAAAATAAATAAATAACAATATAAAATTTAAAACAAGATTATAAATGAAGTCAAGTAAAAGACCTACCCGGAAAATGGCATCCCAAACCTCGAAGAGACCCTGATGACGATCCTTTTGTCCCAAGTTATTATTAAGCACATCCTGTAAAGTGAGGCTATGCTTTTGGGCACTTTTGCAAAAATGTAAAAAATTAATTAATTAATTAATTAAATTTAAAAAATAATTAATTAATAAATTAAACTTAAAAAATAAATAATTAATAAATTAAATTTAAAAAATAATTAATTAGTAAACTAAATTTAAAAAATAATTAATTAATTAATTAAATTAAAAAAATAATTAATTAATAAATTAAATTCAAATAAAATGAATTAATTGAATTTAAATAAAATTAATTAAAATAAAAATAATTGTAAAATGAATTAATTAAATGTAATAATTACTTAAAAAACTGCATGGAGGAAATACAGCTTCTGACATCGTTTCCCGATTTCTCCGCCAAGGCAATCAATGAACCAAAATCCGTTTTCAACTGCTCCCTTTGGGCAATCTTAACCAATCTGTAAATTATAATTTATTAATATTTAATATGTTTATTTTATATAAATAATTAATATTTATACCTCTCCGCCAAACGGGCAGCATCAATGGGCGGAAAGCTAACCACAAAGGCCACTTGTCTCAGAGGACGCAGGGCAGGATCGTAGACATCATTGCAAATGCAAATGATGGGACGCCTTAGGACATTGTGCTCGGCCTTGCCGCCCTTGGCCTTTACCTTGCTGAAAATGCCATCGTTGACAAATTTGACAAGATATTCAATGGATTGACGCGGGGCACCATCGATTTCATCTAAAATAAATAAAGAAATGTTATTAAAATAAAGAAATATAAATATAATTACAAAATAAGTTATTAATCTTTCTATTTTACTTACCCAAAATAATGCAATTGGGCCTCTTATCCTGATTCAACACCGACGACATCTGCGTGCCATTCTCCAAGGCCAGCTTGAAGGCCTCCGTACTGCGATCGTCCGAGGCATTGATCTCGCGCACATTATAGCCCGCATGCCGGGCAATGGTGTGGGCCAATGTGGTCTTACCCAGGCCAGGTGGACCACAAAGCAGGGCCACCTTTTGCATGGGTCTACCCAGGGCATCCACATTTGTATTCAAAGCTTGACGGGATTTCCTTTGTCGCCAGCCTCCATTCGATTCGAATTTCCCAGTGCGCTTATTGAAGCTATTTAGCTGGTTATTAGCTGCTGCTCCTGCAGTGGCTCCTTCAGTCTTTTCCTGTTCTTGCTTGCTGTGAAAGGCCTTGCCAAAGACCACCTTGTCCCACATCTTCAGCCAGTAGAGCAGACTCCGATTGGTCATTTCATCGGACAAGAGATCAATGTACTTCCTGGGCTTGTACTTGTCCACCCAAAGGCGTCCAGTCTCTGGATGAGTAGTTACCAGGGTTATATCTGGATCGGAGAGGGTATCTTCAGCTGAGCGCAGGCGAACCTAATGGGAATAGAGATGGTTTAAAGTCTCTCAAGACTTTTTCTACTGACTCACCATTTCTCTGGCCTCCTGCCATATCTTCTCCTTCGATTCACCCAGTAAACTCTCCACCACTGCCGTTGAGCCTCCCCTCACACTAAGCAAGTCCAGTTGCCGTTGCTCGTACTCCTCCGAATGGAATCTCACATAGATGCGCTCCAGATCGCTCCTTTGAACGGCCAAAAATGGCCAATTGGGTATCTCATAGGAGAGGTTACGCATCTTAAAGTCATGCAAGGCCTGCAACCGACTAGCCTCATCCTTTCTTAGGGTTTTGCTGGTTTCGCGCATTTTTCGTCGCAATTCCAGAATCTTGTCAATGGCCTCGTTGTCCCTTTGCTCCTCCGTTCGGGCCTTCTTCACCATGGGATCCTCGTAGGATTCGTGAAAGAGATCATCAATGTCCCCAAAGAGATCACGTTCCAGGCGCCGCTTATTGGCATTCTTGAGGCCCACATCCTGAAGCTGTTTGGCGGCGGCATTGAGCAGCGGCTCCTGGTCGAATCCTCTGCTGGTCAGCTGGGTGGATTCCAGCTCCTGTATGGCCGGCATACGCTGGAAGGGTGTGGAGCAGCCACGGCCCGCCGGCGGGCCTTTTGGTGTGCCAAAAAGACGTCGATTGACGTGGCCACCACCACCGCTGATGCCACCGCCATCGTCCACAGAGTCCAACTGACTTGCTCCAAAGGTAATTTGCGAGAGTTGCGGCGAGCCCAGTGAGAAGTTGGCGGCATCTTTTAGACCCACGGGAGCACGGTTTTCCTTCTGTTTCTCCGCTGCCTGCTTGGAGGTGCTCGGACCATCGTAGGGGTCAAACTCCTGCGGCAAATCGTCCAGCAGCTCCAACTCGTCTTGGTACTGCAGCTCGAACTCTTCGTTCTCGTCGGGATACTGATCCATCGCGGGGAATCCTTGGGATCTCCGGCAGAAAATCTATACAATTGTAAACAAAATTTCGCAAAGTGCAAAACTCCCGCCAAAAGGGAAAACACAGATGTTCGGCAGGGTTGCCAACGTTTGAAACTATCGATATACTGCTATCGATGTACTAAATAAAATAATATTTACATTTATAAATTCTTACTGAGAGAGCAAGACGGCTTCGAATAAGAACTTGGAAACTAATTTTTAACATTAATGCTTAAGTTTTTGTTTATTTAAATCCTTTCATTACTTTTCGATAACCTAAGTGTAACCAGCTGCCATACCAGTGTGACCAGCAGGCGTGTGAGCCAAAATCTGCCACATTTCGCTCGATGTTTTTTTTCCAACAATTGCTTCTAGAAAAGTCGGCATTTTTTTTAACATTTTCACATTGCTCAGGTCGCAGCGTGTTTCAGGGAATTAATTAGAAACTAGCGCTGAACAACAGCCAGATAGCCGCTCTGCCAGCAGACATGGACAAGGTGAGTGGTGTGCCCGGCGACGCAGGGTCAAGCGCAACAAAGGGACAACGTGCGAAAATTCTTAACCCTTGCGGCTTGCTGCAGGTGAACGAACTCAAGGAGAAGGGCAACCAGGCGCTGAACGCCGAGAAGTTCGATGAGGCGGTGGCGGCTTACACAGAGGCCATCGCTCTGGATGGCCAGAATCATGTGCTGTACAGCAACCGTTCGGCGGCCTACGCCAAGGCCGGCAAGTTCCAGGCGGCGCTGGAGGATGCGGAGAAGACGATCCAGCTGAATCCCACCTGGCCGAAGGGTTACTCGCGCAAGGGAGCTGCTGCCGCTGGCCTGCAGGATTTCATGAAGGCCTTCGAGGCCTACAACGAGGGTAAGACAACGACTCCCCCCGTTGAGCCATGAATCACCGCGACCTAACCTCACTTTGGGCCTTGTTTCGCAGGTCTCAAGTACGATCCCCAGAACGCCATACTGCTGCAGGGTCGGCAGGATATAACTGCCTCGGTGCTGAGCTACATGCAGTCGCAGGGCGATATTCCCATGGACATTGATCCCCAGCAGACGCGCACCCGGCGTGCTCCATCGCCGCCACCCTCGAAGCCCGCTGAGCCGGCCAAACCGGCGGAGCCGCGTGTGGAGGATATGACGGAGGAGGAGAAGAAAAAGTACTTGGCCAAGAAGGAGAAGGAGCTGGGCAATGCGGCGTACAAAAAGAAGGAGTTCGAAACGGCCCTCCAGCACTATCACGCTGCCATCGCCCAGGATCCCACGGACATAACATTCTACAACAACATTGCCGCCGTTCACTTTGAGCGCAAGGAGTACGAGGAGTGCATCAAACAGTGCGAGAAGGGCATCGAAGTGGGCCGCGAGACTCGCTCTGACTTTAAGCTGATAGCCAAGTCTTTTGCCCGAATCGGCAACACCTATCGCAAGCTGGAGAACTACAAGCAGGCGAAGATCTACTACGAGAAGGCCATGTCCGAGCACCGTACCCCTGAGATCAAGACCTCGCTGAGCGAGGTTGAGGCCAAGATCAAGGAGGAGGAACGCAAGGCCTATATCAATCCGGAGAAGGCCGAGGAGGAGAAGGAGCAGGGCAACCATTTCTTCAAGAAGGGCGACTATAGCACCGCTGTGAAGCACTATTCCGAGGCTATCAAGCGCAATCCCGATGATCCCAAATTGTACAGCAATCGCGCCGCCTGCTACACCAAGCTGGCCGCCTTTGATCTGGGACTGAAGGACTGCGAGACGTGCATCAAGCTGGACGATAAGTTCATCAAGGGCTACATTCGCAAGGGAAAGATCCTGCAGGGCATGCAGCAGACCTCCAAGGCCCAGTCGGCCTACCAGAAGGCCCTTGAGCTCGATCCCAACAATGCGGAGGCCGTCGAGGGCTATCGCCAGTGCTCGATGAACTTCCAGCGGAATCCCCAGGAGGTGCTGAAGAACGCCATGTCCGATCCCGAGATTCAGCAGATCCTCAAGGACCCGGCCATGCGCATGATCCTGGAGCAGATGCAGAATGATCCCAATGCAGTGAAAGAGTAAGTACTTCTGGAATGTTCTAGAACTTTCGTTTTCAATGTCGAATTTAATTTGCATTTTTATCAGGAAGACAATACTCTTTTTATACCCCTAAGAAATTAATTTAATTAACAATTTTAATTTTGTTTTGCAGACACTTGCAGAATCCAGCCATCGCCGACAAGATAATGAAGCTACTGGAATCGGGCATCATTCAGATACACTAGGCACCTCCACCTTCCTCACACTCACACACCCCACACATACTAACTCACACAACACACCCAACCATATTGATAAAAAATGCTGGAGACAAAAAAAAGCCCAAATAACAAGCATTATACACAATTTAAAGGCACCTCCACAAGCTGGTTAACAACTAAAATATCGTTTTCTAAGAGACGGGCCACAACATTTAATGCTATAAACATAATTACCTTAGAGATCGCAACGCCCAAAAAGCAGAAGGACGATAACAACAAATAACTAAAGAATAAACAACAACAAAACAAGGATATAACTAAAAGGAAAGTAACAAAATCATTGATAAATGTCTGCCTAGTTGATTTACGCGGATGAATGGAGTAGGCTCCAAACGTCAAGGTCCTTATTTTCTTACTACAATAACTATGCTGTAGCTTAGCTCTAAAATAAGTTTTTGAATGTAAAATAAAAGAGTCAGAATGGTACAAGCTTGTGGGTTTTCATTTATTTCTGAAAAACGCTCTCTGTATTCCCTAATGCCTGAATTACTGAAAATATCGGCGATAAATAGCGATATAAGTCGTTATTTTCAGCCGAAAACAGCTGTTTTCATACAAAAGGCTTAAAATATCGGCTTACTATCGCGATACTTGTCCGATATTTTCAGTAATTCGTCAAGGGAATACCCTGACTAGCAATAGGGTTTTTCCCAATCGTATATTTTCACATATAAATATTTATGGAATCAAATTTTGTTTATATATTTCCGCAATTAATTTAAAATTAACCTACAATTTAAAATTTATCCTAAAAGCAAAAAGTTGAAAAATGCAGTTCTAGTGGAAACGGGTCACTAGCCTCTGACCATGCCGTGGAAACTGCGGCACGACCCACAATCGATTATCGCATTATCGATAGCACGGCACCGATAGCAACATCGTTGTCTTTGCAGCTCTACCGAGAAAATGGAAATGTGCTGAGATATTTGTGATCTATATCCTTTTTTGTCGTCCAAAACTGCCGTACGAAAATGTTTTGACCCCGCTCCACCAGAGATCCGTGAAAAAGTGTAAAAAGCACGCGAGCCCGTACCTAAAGCCAATCATTTTTTTAACCCGTGTGGTTGCCGTGTCCGTGTGTCCGTGTGCTTGTGAATGTGTGCTCAGTCAAATCGCATAGAAAGATGTGCGCTATAGCCGCAGCTATAGCGTGAAATTAACACACGCGAATCGAGACGAGCGAGTAAAATCGTCAAAAAAAATCGTCTGTTTTTTGTGTGTCCAGCTTCTGTCACCGCATCCCAGGAATTTCGTCCCACTGCAGTCCCCCAAAAGAGCCAACAAAAGTGAGTTTTTTCTTTTTTTGTATTTCTCTGCCTTTTCTGCGTTTCGGCGTTTCGGGGGCGCTTGGCAACAGGCCCGCAAAGAGCCCAGAGCGCGAGCAAGAGGGTTGCGAGTGGGGGAGTCGGGGGCGCAAGCAAGAGAGAGAGCCGGGACGCCAACGATTATTACATGCTGCTGCTGTGGAGCGTTGTTGCTGCCGCTGCTGCTGTAGTAGTGGTTACAGTTGTTGTTGGAGCAATATGTGGCCAATATCTATTAACGGATTGGGAAGCAATTAGGCCCTAAAATAATGAGGCATCGATTTCTTGGGGAAGGTTCTCCTCCACAACAGCTCGGAACAGCTGTTTCCTTTTGCTTTCTAGCTTAAATTTGATATTAATTAAGGGATTTTGAGAGCGTCCTAAAATTGTTTTAAGGAGTTTATAAAGGCTTGAATTGAAGACTAAGAGAATTTGGAATTGTTTATATTTTAGGGATACTTCTTTTTATGGGAGCGATTTCACCAGTTTTCACTTTATTTAAGTCTCTATTTATTATTCAGGTTTTAATATAGTTGTTACCTTCTCTAAAACTCATAAATCAAGCCAAACGCCAGCTATTGAAGGGACATTCTAAACATATTCCTTGAAACTTTTTATAAATCCCACAATAACCTCTTTAATCTCTCTTCTTCTCCCTCCTTAGTGCAATCCTCACCGCTGCACTACTCGACGATGCGGCCCCAGGCGCCCGGATCGCTGGTCGATCCCAACGAGGAGGAGCTACGCCTGGCGCCATGGTACTGGGGCCGCATCTCTCGGGAGACGGCCAAGACCATACTGCACGGCAAACCCGATGGTAGCTTCCTGGTCCGCGATGCTCTCTCCAAAAAGGGGGAGTACACGCTTACCCTGATGAAGGACGGCAGCGAGAAGCTAATCAAAATCTGTCACATGGATCGAAAGTACGGTTTCATTGAGACCAAACTCTTCCCATCGGTGGTGGAGATGATAAACTACTACAAGGAGAACTCACTGAGCATGTACAACAAGTCGCTGGACATCACGCTGAGCAATCCCATAGTGCGGATCTGCGACGACGAGGATTCGCAACCGCACGGCGATCTCAGTTTGCTGAGCAATGACTTCATTCGCACCTGCCAGCACTTGCAGGTGGCCGAGCAGAATCTCGAACAGAAGCGAAACTCCTTCAATGCCATTCGTGAGGAGCTGCAGGAGAAGAAGCTGCACCAGAGTGTGTTCGGGAATGCGGAGAAGATATTCCGTAATCAGATAAAGCTTAACGAATCCTATATGAAAACGCCAGTGGATACCCAAGCCCCAGAGACGCCAGAGGGAGTCGGCGGCGCCGAGGGAGCTGGTGGTGTTCCATCAGCCTCGACCTGCAGCAATAATGTCAACACTCGACGCAGTCTGATGGAAAACAAGCAGCGTCTGCTCAATCTGCTCGAGGTGCTCCAGGCCAAGATACAGGACCTCAATCATTACATGGAGACGATGAAGAAGGAGGAGCTGCTGCTGGAGCGACAGATCAATGCCAGCAAGCCGGAGTTGCAGATGCTGCAGTTGCGCAAGGACAAATACATTGAGTGAGTACAATAAATATAAGGGAGAAATCTAGGGTTTTTCCTGGAAAATATCAAAAATATGATCATAAAGGTAAAGGTCAAGAGGAATTCTAGGATAAACTGCATTTTGCAGCCAAGCAAAAAACAAACCACCAACGGTTCTGGCTCATTTTACACGCTCGGCCGTCTCAACCGATCGTTCATTCTGTCTAGCTTCGGCATCGATAGCGATAATAATGGCATAACATTGTTAACGGCAGCCTCAACTGCCTCACTTACCCCGCCGAGTAGTCCTCGCTTCCAGGGCGTCTACGTGCCTGGCCAGCCAACTTCCCAGAGAATTCGTTACCTTTTATAAACAAAATTAAATACTCTTCTTTATTATATAGTCACTAGATCTAGATTTTAGCTTCTGAACTAGTAAATCCCTATTATAATACCCAGCTGGGGGGTTATGATAAGCGAAACCCTTCAATTTAAAAAGTACAAAGTTTCCTATGGGTTAGTTTTCTTATCTGAATTATTGGTCTCCCACATTGAAACCTTATTTCCTTTTATTTACAAACCAATATAAGTATATATCGATATATATATTTCGTATCAAGGTCGTGTTTTTAATGGGGTTTTGAACTCAAGTAGAGTATTTCTGGTTAAAGATATCTAATAAAAAGCTTTATCGGTTATTTGTGAGCTTGCATTTGAAGGTCTCAATAAAATATTATTTTTAAAATGGAGAAAAAACATGAAATAATTGATTCAGAATTTCTAAATTATACATAGATATGGCTAGGTTCTTGGAGGTTTATTTTCTATATGTTGTTATAGGTTAGGAATTAGTTTTTATATTTTTTTATTGACTCTAAACTCTAATTGAGTATAATAAGCGAACGTTATCTAAGAATTACTTACAAATTTGAATATAACATTTATTACAAATAAAACCCTAGATTTTTATAGCTTTCTAGCAAATTAAGCTTAACTATACCCCCATGATCTTTCAGATCATTGACATGGTTTTTAAATTAATTTATGATTTGTGTTCCATCTGCCAGAGTTTGCCACAATCTTTGGCAAAACCTCAGTCGGTTAAAAAGCTTATAAAGACATATATAGTAATACTGCCTAGCAACAGACACTTACACAGGGGGGAGTACGTCATCGTTTTTGATGAGTTATACGCGCTCCCGAATCGGTTTCTATGGGTATTACCTAGAGTGTGGAACAGCACAGCGAGTGACACTTGAACGGGGGGGAAGAGAGGAAGCCGGCGGGGGCCTATAGATAAGGTTAGCGCCTTGCTAAAGATAGGTTCGCTTATCAGGAATTATAAGTTTGCCGAGTGCTTAATAATTCTTTTTTTCCTTTGCTTCTACCCCTGTACATATACATATGAACTCGAGTATCTATATGCCTCTCTTTTGTAAGGCTGCCTTGGTTTTTGCAAACCTTTTGCTGGTCCCCAAGGTTTGTGTATCTAAACCCACAGAGATTAGACCACCGCCGTCATTTGTGAGATAAAAGCCACCAGCGAGTCTCCGGAGCCCGGAGTATCCCACTTGACTCCTCCTCCAGAGATTAGATAAAGCTTCCTGGTGAATCTACCCACCTTTCGGTGGGTGTTAAATTTTGCTGCGCTGTCCGTTCCGAAGATTGATGATATCACAACCGGCCGACCGCCTTGCCGGGGCTTATCGCTGCTCGGCGGAGACTTAGTCACTTGGATAGCCCGGCGGACGGACATAAAATGAAGCAGCAGTAGCAGCAGCAGCAGCAAAGCTCCCCCTGATCGCCTGATCGCCCCGATCGCCCACACCGATCGTGATGCGGAAACCTACGGGTCTGGACTTTCGTAGACCGAACGGCGGCGACGCATTTAGTTATCAAGGGTTCGTTTCGTCGCCAGTTGAAATTGCACAGGGTTAGATCAGGCATCGATATCACCACAAATCGATTTTAATAGCTACTTATCATCGATCACCCCCTCAGATCGAAGTTAATTGTTAGCCAATTCGGAAGTGACACGTACTGAAAAAGTTTTTTGCTGAGTAAAAAGATTTAATAATTAGATTTTATACGGAATACTACTTATTATACAATTATTATTTTAAAACAAATGTTGGAGCATTGTTTCAATTAAAACATTTCAACAAATTCCCAAAGATTAGATAAGGCGTCGTTTATAAGTTGGAATTAAATTAAAAACTAGAAAGACACGTACGCCACGCCTCCTGCAAAAAGTTTTGGCTTAACTCAAAGATTGATAAAGTTGTGAAATTGCATTACAAGATATATAGATATATGTGTCTTTCACATAGAGAGGAAAATTTTGTATAATAAAGGATAAATATTGCACTCAATTTCTTATCAAAAATGTTGTAAAGTTTGATATATAAATGTTTTTAATATCACAATATATTGAGAGGAAGCTCACTCACAAATGTGCTCCTTAAATCATCGTGTTTTGGATAAATTCCTTATGTAATTTCCATCAAAAATATTCAAGACTATTTCAACTCCCTAACTAATACTTTTCTTCATATTTTCCATCAACTTGCAGGCGCCTGAAAGGCTTTAACCTCAAGGACGACGACCTGAAGACGATCCTTGAGATGGGCTACGACAAGTGGCTGCAGCACTACGAAACGGCCTCAAATCAGCCGCACAGCAACGAATCCCTCTGGCTGCTGAAAGATGCCAAGCGCCGGGATGCCGAGGAATATTTGCGCAATGCACCGCCTGGCACCTTCCTGATCCGTGTGAGAGATCTCGGTCACTTTGCTCTCTCGATTGCCTGCGGTGACAGTGTCCATCACTGCATTATTTATGAGACGGAGAGCGGTTTTGGCTTTGCTGCCCCTTACAACATCTATCCGTCGCTAAAGAAGCTGGTGGAGCACTATGCCAACAATTCCCTTGAGGAGCATAATGATACGCTGGCCACCACGCTGCGTTGGCCATTTCTCTACTGGAAGCAGAATTCCCAACAGATATTGGCGCAGCTGCAGGAGGAAAGGGATTTAGAATGCTGCGAACAGGCGGTGACGCTAATGCCACCACCAATGCTGGGCACCAGTGCACCGATACCGACGAGTAGATCCCGCGATCATCACGACCAAGTGGATGGCATTGGAATGGGAATGGGAGCGATAATTGGTAGCCAGGACACGGATACAACGCCACCGGCCTCCATTTCGCCATCGAACTTTAGTACTTCGCAGTAGGAGGAGCACTTGGAGCCCTCAACCTCAGGCTAGCTATCGTATCTCTCTAAGTCTTGCTCCCCCAAAAACTCCTCTCTATCTCTCTCTATATATATTAATATATCTAGATATAAACCGCGAAGGTGGTCAAAATAATGGCACTTATTGCATGATCCTAGGCCCACGCAAAAGTCAGTGATTTAACCATTTTAAATGTCAGTTTAGAGAACTTTTCGCCCAAGCTTAGCTGCCAAGATCAAACAGGGAATAATGTTTCGATATCACCCAAAATAATCGTACCATAGTTTGTGTTCCACTTGTGTGCAGTGCCATTATTTCGCCCGCAGCCGTGTGTCATCATCATCATATATGCATATATATATATATGGGCTATATAATATGTATATGCTTGATGTGAATACAATTTTTTTGTGTGTGATGGATGGCGCTGGCAGTTCAACTGTCAACTGGCTATCCCCCCCGTCAAGAATCAGAAAAGAAACGTAAACGTAAACGAGTGTAAACTTTTTTGTGGTGATCTGATCATGATGTTTTGAAGCCTTTTTTCAAATTGAGAAAGTATAATCTTAATAATATTACAAAAGTATGATTAATTTTATAAACACATACTATATATATATATATCTATATATATTTTTTGTAATACTGCATTTGGCGTGATAATTGATAAGTCAAGCTATCTGTTGTTGTATCTAAACTCCTGCTCCTGCAACACTTCCTCCCCCCTAACCCCTACCCCCTTTCCCATAATTATTATTATTGTTATCACGCTGCGCGTTGTCGAAACAGGGAGGGGGGTAAGAGCAGGGGGTAAAAAAAAAAAAACAAAGAAGGATTGAGTGACAGAGTGGAAGTCGTGAAGAAATTTTCTGCATTTCTTCATATACATATATATATTTTGTGGTGTTCATGTAAATATTCGAAAGGCGAAACAAAGGAGCAAAAAAATTTCAAAATAAATGTTTGCGAAATCAGGTTAAGGTTTTGATAACCGCCCCAGCTCCCCCCTCTAATATTTGTTGTTATATTATGATTGATTTGAAGTAGTTCTAAGTGAAGTTTACGTACGTTTACTCGATGTGATCAGTTGATTGTTGCTAAAATAGTAATTTCCCTTCCACCCTCTATATATATAAAAATATTTTTTTTTATTAAGAAAGCCTTAATTTCCGACACACAGAAACAAAGAAAAAAAGTATAATAACTCACACACACACACGGAAAAGCAGCAACAAGCAAAGCAAAAACAAAGTGCAATCGAAAATGTAATAATTAAATTTTTAACATTTGTTAATTTATACACAAGGAAAGAAACAGGAAAAAAAAGACAAAAAAACCGTTGCCCATAAAGAACCGCTGCAATAGGCATTATTTTTGTTTGTTTTGTTTTTTACACAACTGATATTTAACATATATATCTATATATATATATACGTAAATAGGAGGAATGCCCACCTGGCAGGCGTTAATTTTTGTAAATACTCTTTCCCAAGGAAATTCAACTAAAAAACAAGTTTTTGTGCAATCTCGACCCTGTATGGCGGTCCTAAAGTGTATATTTCATATATAAATATTTATTTTATATTTAAAATATATATTTTCACATATAAAATATTTCTTTGATATTTAAAATATATGTTTTCATATAAAGCAATATTTTTGTATATTTCTAATATATATTTTCATATATAAAATATTTCTTAAATATTGAAAATATATATTTTTTCATATATAAAATATTTCTTTAATATTTAAAATATATTTTTTCATATAAAATTTTTTTTTTATATTTCTAATATATATTTTCATATATAAAATATTTATTTTATATTTAAAATATATTTTTTCATATAAAAAATATTTTTTTATATTTCTAATATATATTTGCATATATAAAAAATGTATTTCATATGTAAAACAAAATTTTTGCTTAAAGCCGCTTGGGAAAGGGTATTATCTGGTTTAATTTCCATTGTTCTCTTGTGCCACCTTAATGTTCTAAGCGAGTAGAAAACCCTTCGAGCTTCCTGTTTGCATTCTACCCAATCGAAGTCGAAATCGAAATCGAATCGATTACACACAAACACTGGCGCTTCTTTCAGATAGATTTCTATAAACATAAAATGTATGCTTAATAATTATAACTCCTAATTTAATTTATTTAACTTGTAACTCTTGTGTGTTTCATTTTGCTTAAATTCTATGAGATTTCGGTGGATCTCGTACGTTGTAGTATTTATAAGTTTTAAATTTAGTTTGTAAACGTTTCAAGAAAACACACAAAACCATAAAAAAAGAAAGCAAAACAAAAATGAGAACACAAAACAAAAACAAAAAAACAAGTAGAAGTTAATGATTAAATGTATTCTAAATATGATTGATCGATATCATCAATTACGATTGATTAACTGGATGTAGAGACGATGATGACCTTTTTGCCATACCTAAATGTTAGATGGAAATATTTGTGAATGTTTCCAATCCCTCGCCGAGGAGAATTGGAAATGTGAAAACAATGGAAGGCGACGGCGACGACGACGACGACGAAACTAAATGTGAAACGAATTGCAAATTTGTTGTATTTTTTTATATGAATATATATACATATATATATATATAGATATTTAACCATACATACCTATATAATGTGTATGCTCTAGAATGCTATATGTTGTAGATCTTAAGCTATGTGTTGTAGATCTTTAAGCGCCAACAGCAACCAACCACAACAAAAACAAAAACAAAAAACAAACAAATCTTTTTGTAGTAGTTTTTAAAGAGTCGGCGAAAACGAAGAAAACATTGTATGTATTTGTATTTGTGTCTAAAAAGAATGTTCGTAAATAACACAAAAGAGAAGAAACAATAATAATAAAAATCGAAAGAAAATCAAAAACAAAAAATCAAAATTTGGACTGAAGTTCATCCACTAATAATAAATATTTTTTGCAGCTGAAGCGAAGCTTTTCCCCAGGTTCGTACCCAGCTTGGGTCTCGTCTTTCAATGAACCCTCCTCCTCACTGCCCTGCCAGCAGCAGATCCGCTGAGCTCTGCGAAAAGCGATCCCAAAAACAGAAAGAACAGGGAATATATCACGCGTCCGCCGCTTGGGCCTCGTGAAAGACCGGCCACTGAGGAGAGTGCATGCATACCAGGAGTGACCGCTATTCAGGCCATTTTTGGAGGGAATCGCAATAGAGTGACCTGGTTAATATGATGTGGATTATATTTCACCTTATTCTCTAATTTAATCTAAAGAATCTTCAGATTCTTCTGGGTATTAACTCACTAGTGGCACTTTCCATAATATTGGAAGAAACTAAATGAGATTTGTGTCTTCAAATCTTAAAAATGCTATTAAGTTATAGTATGTGTTATATTATTTTTGGAATTATGAATAATGTAATAAGTGCCGTGCCTCAAGACACTTTTTTGGGGTCTAGAGGGGGGTCTAAGAATGTGGTGGCTCATCAAAATGACTTGGAACGGGGAAAAAGGAGAAATTGTCTACAGCTGCAGTTCAAGCTGGTTTAATCTACAAATAACCAGATTTTTATTCCTAGCCCAATGATATCAGCCGGGAGTACACATTACAGAAGCTATCATGTAGAATTGTTGGTAAGATGAGCCATCAGGACTGCGCTATGTGGACTGCATTTCTAAAAATAGCTTATCTCTCTTACCGTAGAATTACTTAAAGCTTTGTGCAAATTCAGCTATTTTGTTGTTGTTAACAAAGAGCGATAAGAAAATAAAACTTAAGTGCTGACTTAGTTTTTTGTGATTAGAAAAACTAAAATAAAAGCAATAGAATCATAACATTTAAGAGGCATTGAAAAATATCTGGATAACTCCATAGATCTTTGATGGATAACCTGCATATGCAGGCATAGATTAGTTTTAAAATCCATTATAATTGTTTTTAAATCACTTTTTTTCTCGAAAAACTACAACAAAATTTTATATTTAATAAAAACTAAACTCTCTTTGTTCAGAAGTCCATCAACAAATGACACATTGAATACCTCCACCAATTAAAAAATGACTGATGGGCTTTGGATAAAGGTCAAGACTGTGCACGCAAACAAACCGATATTTTCTTATCTTTTGCATGCACCAAGTGAGCGCGTTAAAAAATTAAATAATTAACTGCCCTACCACAAGACGAATTTTTAAGAAAGTCGCATTTTCCATTCTCATTGAATGCACATTTATTTGTTCATATAATGTTCACATATTGATTTCCTTAATCAATTAGTTTTGTGTGTGTTTTTAATAAAGAAAAATAGTGAGTAAAGCAAAATAATAATTCGCAAGTATTAACTGAATGTTAGGTCTTCACTGACCTAGAAGTATTCCCATTTTATTACATGGTCCAAACGGTAGAGCGTTATCATGAAATTATTCTGAAATAAATAAGAATTTGTACATACATATAAAATTATTAATTAAAATCAAATTAAAACAAACAAGTAAAACTAAAACCCTAACTATATTTACAGATTAAAATTAATTACAATAAGAAACTCACCTGGAACCGTTCCAAGCCAATCAAGGTAATCCTTGTCCATATAGAACCATTGTAGACCTGAAACTTGAGGCCAATAATTTGGATCATCCGCAATGATTCTGTTGTCGGCAGCTACAAAAGCGTAGACGGATTCAAACATATTTGATTTTGGCAAAATTAAGACATTTAGTTCTACGATTCCATTGAAATCAACGTTTCCTCTGTGACAGATATTAGATAACTGCGACTTTTTTCCATCCAGCAGACGATTCATGTCCCACGAGATCATGTTATGGGTCAAACTATTGCTTCCATTCGATTTCATGGTAAGTATGGGGAAATAGGGCCCACGACTTCTTAACACTTTCTGTTCGTACTTGGTGGACGCAGTAAGAAGGCTTAGCTCATATTGCTCGTTATTTTCTGCATTTATCCGCCATCCTATTTCATTTTTTTTTAAATCGACGCGTGCTTTTACTTTGAAGTTTTGCCCAAATTTGGCAGCGATAGCAGCAACGAACCACCAAGGAACATTACCGCTAAAGTGTGTCTTTGTCCAGTTCGCCTCCAACGATTCCTCCGGCTGACTGAAGTTCATTATCCTACCAACATTTTTCAGGCTTTCCTCCAGGAATGAATTAATATTCATCACTCCAAAATCGATCACAAATAAAGAAGTTATTTTCTCCCAAATGCCTTGAAATTCGAGATGCTTGTGATAACCCTCATAACGTGAAATGTAATTGTGTTCGAACAGTGTACATCCCATCTCCACCAAATACCAGTTAGTAAGTCCAAGCATTAGAGAGGCGTATCCCAAGGTTGTGTCCAAGACGTCCCTGGGTATTCCGAAATTGGGATCTCGGGCAAACGCTCCGCAGGCTTTGAGAATTCTCAAGTCGTTAGTGCTGGTAGAAAGTCTGTATTGGCAAACGTAGTTTGAAGGGCAATGGCCTTGCCAATCAACAGCGTTGTGGGTCAGGAATCCTAAAGGATCGCACCTCCAAAAATTAAGGACCTGAAGTCGGGTTTGTCGTTCTTCTGCCGCCATCTTAGCCAAATCAGGAACTACGTAATCCCCTATTAGAATTTCGTCTTTGTTGTTGAAAGCGACTGGACCAAATATGTGTTTCCTGTTTTTTGTTGGCTCCGGATTGGGATAGCAGCTGAAACCATTGAACCGCGAGGTAGCCAGGATACTGGCCTTTAAGTGCAACTGCCTGAACTCAGTGGGTGAGAATATATAAGCCATGTTATGCAGAGCAACAGAGATATCGCCACAGGAAATGGTCATTACATCCGGATCCGAGAGACGTCCCAGATAAGCGTGGGCTTTCTTCGCAAACTCAAAGTTACCAGCCCGTGAGGCAGTAATGCCTTTGCATACCTCAAACTGCCAGTCATCGGGGAATCGGGACCGGGTTGCATCGATCACAACTAGACATATGTTTGAGTAGTTGCCGTGGATGTAAACTGTTGCTGCTTTGGGCATGAATGTCGCCTTCATTGGCAGACCTTCCGTGGCCTCTGACACCCCATTGGAGTACTCCACATCCAGGGTATAGGCGAAATTCCACCAGGACGTGCTGGTAAAACTGAGAATGTACGCCATCAACCAGGAGCTTCCACTCCATCTACCACACACTGGAATGCAAACACAGCTTGAGAGATGAATATCCTGCAAAGACTCGTCCTTTAAAATTACTGTATCCAATTCGTCTATTGCCAGCACATAAAGTGCACTTGTAGACGTTTTAGTTCCAATCTGTGAAGAGTTGGAGATCTCGGGTGGCGGACTCCAGGAGCCTGTGCAGCTATCCTTTTTCACGTTCATATTCACAGCGATCTGTTGAACAAACGACGATGCGTGCATCAAGTCTGTTGGCTTACTTAGCATAATTTGTAGCAGGAGAAGCCGCACGATGGCAGCTTCGTCTTTCAAATAGATAAAGCTTTGTCTTTCAAATTGGTAAAGAATTTTAGCCATCGACCATGCAGCGCTGCTTGTAAGGTACTCTAACTCTTCTTCGTCGTATTGGTATTGATTAACCGATTCTAACATGGCCTTCAGCCTTTTCCCGAAAGCCGAATAGTCGGGCTTTGCAAACTGTTGTAAATATCGTTGATCAAATTGCATGGAATAAATGCTAACTTCCGTTGCCGGCATAACTTCAGCTATATCCTCTTCCCCGCCAAGCTGCCATTTGAACAGGAGCAAAGGATCTGCCCACTTTTCAGGACTATAGGTGCCACTCTCACCCTCTATCTGTTGCCACACTTTAGTTCGGGACGGCAGAAGTCGGGGAATCGGGTCCTCGAACATTCTCTTTATGACAGCTAAAGCGGCTCCTTTAGTGGCCTGTGCTGCCATTTTGTTTTTATTTTGCGTTTTAAAACGGGGGATTCCCCGAATATAGTAAATATTTTCAGGCCTGTTAAAATAAATCAAATTAGTTTTAGAGGAAAGTCTCGGGTGGCCAACGAACCTAGCTTCAGTCGGTGGATATCTTCTCGTCCCGCAGTTTTAATTTTCTTCAAGATCTGTGATCTTTAGGATTTGCGTCGTTGCCCTAGAACTTAGATTACGTTCTTATTTCGATCAATGTGTCGATCGTCGGAGATCAGTGATCTGCTTACTTAACGGCTGAGTGCAGAGAGTTTCAGGAAGTCACAAACTTTATATTCCAAAGGAAAGGATTTAATTTAATAAGAGCAAAAGATGAAATTTTGCACTTTTCTTTGACCAGACCTCCCAGACTGTTTGCCGGCTTTTAGTATTAGTGCTGCCAACTTTGAATAAAATAAAAATCCCATTTTACCGCAGGAAAGCGGGAAATAGCTGAATTTAAAAAACTATTCATCAGAACGAAAAATTCTAGATATAACTGTCTTAAAATATATATTAAAAACTGCAGTAGAAGCAATATTAAAAAAAAAAGCTAAAGTAATTAAAACCAATCCTTAATTCGTTCAGCTTTTTCATATCCAGTTGTACTATTAAAACGCCAGATCTGGTGAGAAAAAAGCTAAACTGTCAACAAAGCCACAGCAGTAGCACAGCTGATTTTCGAGCTTTTTTCGCATCTTTAATATCTGGTCACACTGGTAAAATCTTTTTTCGAGCAAGGCGGTCGCGTTTTTTTTCCGTCGCGATTTTTAACGTTTTTTAAATTGTTAACACAACTCGCGAACTTTTTGGTGGCTTGGCGGCAATCGTGAGTGCATAAATTAAATGGCAGCGCCATGGAATAGGCCCCATTAGAGCCGCGCGCGTGTTTGTATGTGTTTGGTGCGTGTGATTGTTTGCGGGGGGTGGCAGTCAGGAGAAGCGAACACAAAACCAAAACAAACGCAGCGTGTGACTTTGCGAATTGTGTTTGCCAGGTGATGCTGCTGCTTGCAAAATCTCGCCCAGCAGCGTGTAAATGGCTAAACACAAAATAACAACAAAAACAACAACAACAAAAGTTTGAGTGTGGCAATTTTCTTCTGCATTTATTATTAACACTCCCCCGCGCTCTCGCTCACTCCGCAAGAGTGCTTTTGGCTGGCGCTCTCTCTGTCTCTCGCCGACTCTCCGTCTCAGTGTGTGCGGCGGCTCAGGTAAATCAAATGAGTTTAATTTTATTAACCTGACAAATAAGCGAATCGTAACCGTGCGTTCGTGTGCGTGTGTGCAAACAGGCAAATGAATCAAAATTTTAGAACGCAAACAAATTATTGAATAACACAGCGACTAGTGAGCGGGATCTCTCTCGCTCTCTCTCTCGTTCTGAGCTTTGGGATGCCGTAATCTCAGTTATTCACTCCACGGGGGCCCCAGCTCCAGTAGATGGTGTGAGGGATAGGGGTACTGGCCTGGGTGGGTGGCTCTTGGCGGTGAGCAAAAGGCGCAGGGGGCGGGGGTTGAGGTTTAATCGATCGGTGGGAGTGATCTCATTGCCTCCGGGCGGGCTTGTGCTAAGCTCTAATCAGTGCTAAGTCAAGTCGCTATCGCCTTATCAGGAAACAGGTTACGGGTGCATAGGGTTCGGGGGTTAGGAGATGAGATAATCCATGGAGAGCAGCTGGAAGTGCTTGGAAGTTACTTTACCAAGGAACCTGGATATTAGCTCGTTTTTAATCCGTGGATTTCTGTGGGTGACGATTTTTCAATGTCAAGGTTCAGTTAAAGTGGTTGTCAAATAATACCTGCAGCTTAAACTGGAGATTATCTTGAGACAAGTCTTTCTTTTTTTAAAGTAAAAAGTAAGCAATAAATGTAATGTTCAGTTAAGAAAAAAAGTTAGTTGAGTGCTAGTTAATTCGCATAACAGCGTTAAAGTGGATGTCAACTAATACCTGCAGCTTAAACTTAAACTGAAGATTAGGAAACTACTATTATTATGTTGAGTGAACGTTTGTTCTTTTTAAAAGTAAACAAAAATAATTAAGTAATTAAGTTCCTGTTAAACCGCATTAGTTAGCTTTAAACTGATTGTAAAATAATACACCGATTTTTTTAAGCTATAAAAAGAAAACCAAATGATTATTTCCTAAAAATTTAAATATTTCGCATAAAATGAAATAATTAATTTTTACTATTTCGGGCTTAATATCAAAAATAATAATCGATAGGCAATTAGTTTTTATTTCCAAGACACTTGAACTCTCTCTTTATTTCTGCTGCCATAATTCTTGGCCTGGCTTGCCATATGCTTGTTGTTCCCCTCTCATAATTCTGTCATTATCTGGCCGTACATTGCCGCCTCCTCCTCGACTTCAATTGCCCTACTCCCCCCCTGGACACCCTGCACATGCCCAGGGAAGGCGCCCCAAACAAGCTAAGAAAAAAGCAAGCAAAACAACACGTTGTAAATTATTTTTGTGGGCCGCACCCAGGCGCCATTAAAAAGGCCAAAGAAAATTTTTGGGTGTGGGTTTTGGTGCGGGTGTGAGCGGTGAATACAAGTGTATAAAAGTGGCAGAATATATCGTACATAACTTTAATTACAATAACCACGCGTCATAGTGTTTTGGAAGAGACTGAGACTCTCAGTTCTCCGCCCGTTCTTTCGGCCACGCGCTATTGGCCCTTGGGCCCACGGCCCCCCCTTCCGCCCAATCAATCCTTCGGATACAACCTTTCACCTGCCCACTCAGCGCCGCTCAACGCTCTATAAATAAATCTCATTAATAAATTAAACGTTTTAGCGCAGGAAATTCCTTCTCCATCTCCAGCAAGCCGCCCAGCAGTCGCAGTATAATTTCCTCGAGAGGCGCTCGTGTGCACAGACAGACATACCCGAGATGGGCCCCAGACTATAACCGATTCGATCCGATTCGATATGGCGACGTCATCATCGCTTTATAAATAAATCAAATGGGAAATGCGAATTTTGTTGAAGAAGACTTCTTGTTTTTATATCATGTTTTTCCTTGTTTTCTTTTTCGTGTGCGAATTGTTGCATTTGGCAACAGAATAATCTCTGCCTCAGCCTCTCTTAGCTCTTTGAAATTTTGGAATCACGTAAAATGTTCATTTCTCTTCATTCCCAGTTTTCAATTGTTTTCTTGAGTTCCTTTTTTGGGGGCTGCTTTGTCTTTCATTATTAAATTGCCACCCAAGAAGGCATAAAAACAAAACACCACCAGACCAACCAAGGCAAACGGACTGATAAATAGACTCGATTATTAGGGAATTATCATGACAGGGTCGGCGGCAGTCTTTTCTTTCTAAATTTTTATTTTTTTGGGGGCTTATGTAAATTGTTCAAACAAGTGGAACATGAATAGCAAAAATGTGGACTTTGTGGTTACATTATGATATGGGGCACAAAGTCACAGGCTAGTCTTTCCCTATAATGATGAAGTTTGAGTCTAATGTGGTTGGACTTTTGGTGTTTTGGGGTTTTCAAAAAGTTCTATTTGGTTTCTAAAAACCACTGACCTTTATAAACATGGAGACTGTTAGCTGGAACACCTGTGATTTTCCACATCAAAGGTGAAGACTCTCTAAAGCCAATAAAACTGTTGTTGATAAATATTTCTGGATGTAAATATTTAAAGGGGAATGGTATTTATATGTATTCTACAGAAAGAAACATAAAATCCCACAGAGTAACTATTAAGCTAATTGAGTTTGTATAAAACCAAGGCATTTTCAAAGATTTTAGCCTTTAAGAAATTAATTTATCGAAAGGTCAAACCTTTTTGGTTTTAAATTTTAAAATTTTCCAGTTGCAGAAAAAAAAAAGATCCAAAATAGAACTTTATGCTGAGAAAACTTTTTACCATATTTAGGAAAATCAAGATTATAAGCTTAGCCAAGTTTGTTATTGCATGGGGAATTCCCTTTTATATTCTGGCCAAGTTTTCGTTTATTAGTTATGATGATGTAGCCAAAACGAATTGTGGCTTGGCTTGCCGAAAAGTTTCATTTAGTTACCACATTTGTTGTTCGTTCTGGGGGAACTCGTGACCTTTTGTAAACAAAAGGGGCAGATAAAACACCTGTAAGTCTCCCTTTACTTCAAAGGCAAACGAAAAACATCACCACCCACAACAACAATGGCAATAATACGAGTAATAACAATAACAACAACAACAAGCACCCCCACGCACAGTGGGCACACAATGGTCCCAGCTAAAATTCCCACCGGATGTTAATGTTTTATTTGGATTTGAAATTTTCTGCTCGCTGTATTTAATGTGCGCTGATTTGTTTGGAAGAAAATAAACAATTTGAAAATTTATTTAGTTGGGGAACCAGGGATCGAATGATTTGGATTGGAATGGAATGCGCCGCGATCCCATGTGAGGCTGCTCTCCCGCATTTAATGGCCGAATAAATATGCAATGAATATGGCCAGTTGCCATAAGTTGGCCAAGTTTATGGCTGCTTATCGATCTCTATGGATAGCTGGCTCCCAGCGGACTGTTGGTTCCCCGAACGGGATGTTTGGTGACCCCCGTGACTCACGCTCCCCATCGTCTCGGTGGACCGCCATTTGCATATCTTTTGTAGTCCACCAGCGCCGAGTGACCTTGAGGACGCCGAGCCGCAATCAATCAAGTGTACAAAAGAAACGGGGGTCGGAGGTGGGGAGAATGAGGGGTGGTTGGTGATGGTTTGGGGTTGGATAAGGGAAGCATCTTGCAACTTTCGCCTTTGTGGAGACAACCCACCAACGAATTGTATCTCACGGATACAGAAACATTTGTCTCACCTTGTCAATCACATTGGCGGGGAAAGCGGGAAATGGTGAAATGGGGAAAACAAAAGAGTGGAGGTGAGGAGGAGATGAAGGGAGTGGACCCACCATTACCACCAGCGGAATATGTGGGTCAGGTCCTAAATATTTCGCGCGTATTGGATGTCATCCTTCCCTGCTTGCCGCTGGCCCATTTTCCAACTGTTTGGCCGATCTCTGATTTCCTATTTCCAATTTTAATTTTCATATTTTTTGAGTACCCTGTAAAAGCTGCAAATAAAGGGGGGTATATACTTTATACCTTAAAGTTCTTCCTTAAAAATTGTAGAAAATAATTGCAGATAAATTAAAGTAAACTTAAGTTTGTGACATAACAGTGGAGTTACCTAACCTTTGATATTCCAAAAAATCAAAATGACTAAGACCAAAATTCTCGCTAAATATCACGTTATTCGATGTGTAAACAGTTGGCCAACAAGGGTATTGGACGAGTCAGCACCTTCCTATATCTACTGTCCCTTCCTGTTTTCGATTGCCTTTGTTCCTCTATTATTATTTCTTTTTTTTGTGGCACATGCGCGCGTTCCGAGTCCGGACAATTTGACGCTGTACTCACGTACGGCGTATGGCAGGGCATTAAAAATAAATAAATATATATAAAAATTCTTGGCTGCATTGGCAGTGGCAAACAAGCCGAAATTCAAATTCAAATTGAGGCACACACAAACATGGCCCCGATTGGCAATTTTAATTTGATTTTCTGGCCGTTTTAGATGCTGATTAGGCGATGTCCACGTAAAAGACGTCGTGCATCCAACCCTCTCCACCCCATTTGCTAGGCTTCTGCCAAAACTATTCAGCAACTATTATCAATTCTTGGCTGCCAGGGGCGTGGGGCTGCCTTGGTCTCCCTCCCTCCCCTTTTGTTGCTCGACTGGCTTGTTTATTTGAAAATTACTCCCCGCTTGACTTGCCCTCCCCCTAAAGAGCCGAGGGGGGAGGAGGGGTGGCCGCTTTCCTCTTATCAAAACATGAACATTTCGCCGCGAACGACGACGCTTTTCCCAAAACAAAAACAAAACCTGTCGGCGCAGAGAGACGAAGAGAGAGCTTCTTCTGCGGAGAGAACTTCTCGAAGAAAAGCGGTTGAAGAGAGAGAGAAGTGCGTGTGTGTGGCATGGCAAAAGCTCTTGTATAACATTTTCCGGGTAGCATTCTTCGGCAAGGAAATTGGGGGTGGGGAAGGGATTCCCACGAATTCGCACGCCCAGAGGCGGTGCTGGAAAATGGGAGGGGTTTTGAGAGTGGGATTAATGCTGATGGTTAATACAAGGCGAAAATTGTGGCAAAGGTCAGAGTTAATCGGTGGAAAGTATATTTAATATTTATGAAATAATAATGCAAATAAAT